TGAGTCAGCCATGCTCTCCTAGAAGTAGTGGATCAGGAGTTTCTCATTTTCACCATGTGCAGCCATCTTACGATAGTACATCATAAGATGACTCTTGGGGCAAGTCAATCCAGCATACTTAAGGAAGTCTGGGACCTTGAATTTTGGTGGGAACTGGATGTTTTTTATCAAACACATGTCTGCCGCCTCCTTAACATCAAAGCTATGTCCCTCGAATGCCTTCAACCTTTCTTCCAAGGCAGAAATTTGTTGCTTGGATACCTCAGGGGTGTGAATGTGCATTGTCCTGGCGTCAGATTGCACAAAGGCTTTTTGCTCGAAGAAGAACTCCTCTTCTTCTTCTTCCTCATGGCGAGAGATGCGGTTGCCATGAGTTTCCCCTTTGTTTAGGTTTTGCTGGCGCATGACCTCCATTAATTGTGCCATTTGCTCTTAGAGGGTGCTGACGTCAACGGTAAGTTTGCGGTTTTGTTCCTCCAGATGCTCCATAGCTCTAGCCTTCTGTGCGCGAGTTCGGATGGGAAGAGGACCAACCACTTTCTAAGATGCCCAAGAATGAATTTTATTAATGGAAACGAATGATACGTGTGGGGTTAGTATCTTCTAAGACAATAACTTAGGTATCATCCTTAAAGCTTACGTTTTGCGGAGTACCATACCCACTTTGGTGGAATGGTTCCTTCCTCATCATATATTTGACTAGTATAACGAAGGTCACCATATACCTTAACACATTTGTCCCTTTCTTGTAGAATGGTTACAAATGTGCTAGGGCCTCTTTTCTCTTTGTCTTAGAGATATCTAATGCCCCCTAGCATGAATGCGTTTATGCATGAGAGACTTTATTAAGATGATGTTTATGCATACCTTTCTCTATGCATTTATTTTCTCTCTTGATTTTACCACTTATGTCATGATGCGATATGAATGATTTGATTTTGTCAAATATCGTTTTATTCAAATTCATTATTTTGCCTTTTTCGATTTGATTTATTTGGTTTTTATAACCCTTTTATCTCTTCTGTCGGACTGCATGACTACTTAGCTTATAAAGAACCTGAAACCAGGCTAGCTAAACGGCAGACTGTCCGAGATAAAAAAAATGGTTTATTGCAAAAGAATAATTTGAACGTTCTTTATCTCTTCTGTCGGACTGCGTGACTACTTGGCTTATAAAGAACCTGAAACCAGGCTAGCTAAAAGGCAGACTGTCCGAGATAAGGGTGTTTATTGTGAATTTTTTTTTTTTTAGATTTTCTTTTGTTGTTTTGTTGTATGGTTATGCTATGCAAAAATCAAATGTAACAAACAAATGCGCACACAATTCACTCATCCACGAACAGGTATGACGACGTTTTTAATTATGAGGTAGGGTTTTCCTGTAGAAGAGTGCATATTCAGGGTAGTTCTAAATTTCCTCACCAAGATCAGGCCCCCAAGGTGCCCCCATTATAGGGTCTTCATTCTCCAGCCTTCTGACTATGCATAACACTAAGGCCTTAGTCAGTCTTTGTGCCAAAAGAGGAAGGTTATCACCTTGGAGTGCTATAAAAAGGATTGGAGTGCTATAAAAAGGATCCTTAGATACATCAAAGGAACATCAGGTGTTGCATTATGTTGTGGAGGATCAGAACTAGTTGTCAGAGGCTATGTTGATTCAGATTTTGCAGGTGATCTGGATAAAAGAAGATCTACTACTGGTTATGTATTTACGGTTGCAGGAGGGGCAATAAGTTGGTTATCCAAGTTATAGGATGTTGTAGCTTTGATAAACCCTTAGTTGTATAGGTTTTCAAAATTTAGTTTCCCCAAAAATATAGTAAGAGGTAAACCAAGTATCAATCCAAGGAGTGAAATTGCAAATTGTTCTTTTTATGGTGTGTAATTTGAGAAAAACTAAGTAAATTTTTGGAGATTTTGAGTTATAAAAGTAAAAAAAAAAAAAAAAGTAAAACAACTAAAAGGAATCTTAAACTAGTAATCTAAAATGTGACAAATTGTTTTGTATGGAAATTGGTAAAATCTTTAAATGGAACTAAACACTAAATGGTAAAATCAAATTGGTAAAAAAAATACTAAAGATATTAAAAACAAATCAATAACTGAATAAAAAAAATTACTAGAATTCAAAAACAAAACTAGTTACGAATTTTATGATAGATTTAGCTAGAAAATTTTGTATGTTGTAAATATAATGGAAACTAAACTAATCAATTATCAAAGCTAGAAACCAAATTGATTAAGCACACAATTGGAACTAGAAAATGATTGAAATGGTGTAAAAACTACAAAAAAACTTTAAATAACCGAATTGAAAAAAATACAATTAAACTAAAACATTTGCTAACTATGCATATGAACATGTTATGAATTAAATTGCCTAAACTATGCAACTAATAAAATTCAAACAGAATTAAAAATGTCTCTAAGTGCTTTAGAACACAAAGTATTAAGCCTATGATCCCAAACAACATAAAAAACTAGACTAGAATTCAAAACTATACTAAACTAGTGTATGTAAAATGTTTGTAAAAATTTTTAGAAACTAAAACAACTAAAATAGTTTGGAATTAACAAAAATAGAATCAAATCATGCTTGGATTAAATCTGGACAGAAAATACAGTAAGAACAAATTGGAAAATTGAAGAATTCAAATGGACAAAAACTTGAAACTACTTATGACCGGATGCAAAGATTAATTGGAAACAAACTTCTAATTGTTTGAAAAACTTAAAAACCTATTAACTAATGTGTAGAACTTCTAAATTGTGCAAAAACAGCAAAGGACTATGAAGAACAAGTTCTACAAAATCAAACACAAAAATTCAATCAAATGTAAAAACTATTCCTAAATTGCAAACTACTCCTAAATTGCTATGAACAAACCAAACGAGAAAATATTCCTAAAATGATGTTTGACTGATTGAATTCTAAAACAAAGCAAAGGAACTTGAAACAACATCTAAGAACAACATTTCAACCAATCAAATTGAAGAAATTAAACCAAAACAACAAAAATAAAATTGAAATGGTAAAAGAACGTCAAAACAACAAGAACAACAAAACAACACATGAAAACTTTGTGAAATTGACTAATGAGACGTGATTATTCTCCTTAATGAATAAGGAACCAATTAAGGCTTGAAAAACAATAAGAATCACGCTCAAATCACTACTAAAACAATGTAAAAAAACTGAAAACAATGAAGAAGAATGAAGCTGGAAACAACATTGTGAACAATCTATGATTATATGATGAATTGAATTAGAAATTCGTGTAGAACAAATGTAAAACGAAATTGAATTGAAAGAACAACTAAAGTAAAGCAAGAAGAACACTAAACAAAGCAGAAAAAAGGGGAAACTAAAGAGACAAAAAGAAAACTAAACTAAAAACTAAAGAGATAGCAAGAGAAATAACCAGAATTAATAGAACTTGAACTAACTTCACATCAATTGAAGAATATAATTCGATGTGTGTTACAATGACAAAAAAAAAATGCCTTATAGGTTCAAATGTGAGTCAACTTCCACTTTAATTTCTAATAATCTCATTTAAAATATTCACTTTTACATTAGATCATATATCCTTTGAGAAAAAATATTTTTTAATTGTAAGTATTTATCACTCAGTAATGATTCTATCATCTATTTTAGATCGTACTCAACCGAGTCAATAATTATAACACTATTGAGTATTTTTACTGAATTAATAATAAGAAAATTCTCATAAATAGAACCACGAGTTAACCATATAAAAAAATATAATAAAATATAATGTCACTTTTAATTAAAAACCTTAAACTATTAAATTACTAGTGTTTCTTAATTATAAATTACTCACTTTTTACATGAGATTTCAATCCCATGTAACAACTTGTAAACTTGTTTAAATCTATCATTAAATAAAAAAATTAGGTTTGAAAATAAAAAGTATGATATATAATTTAGTATATTCACATTATATATTTTTCTTATAAAAGGTTACCAATATTTTTTTCATATAAGAACATTTTTAATGGAGTTATATCAAATGTTACAAGTGATAATACTTTATTTCTCTATATATGTATTATCTAAACTCAAAACTACTAATCAAATTGACAATAATTTTGTGTTAATAAATCTACATAATCAATAATGATATGATATATTTCTCCAAACATCACTCTTAAAGTAAAACATTATTATACATATTTATTTATTGTAAAAAACACAATACCATGTTCAGAAATAAATACAACCTAATCAATATACTCATTAATATATCATATCCACATTGAATAAGAAACAAGTGGATATAACCATATACATGTGCACAAAAGAATAGAAGAAAATCCCCACTTTTTAAACATTGAATTATTTGTTCGCACCATCCACAACTTTATAGTTTCTCTTTTTGAGAAAACTATGGATTATGATTTATAATCCCCTAATTAATTATGTTAATTATAATAATTTTATGTGACTACCTAATTTATCCAATTTTTTTGTTTTTGGGTTGGGGGCTAAATCCTTGGTGATAAGTAACAAACAATGGGCTTTGGTGCTGCTTTTTGAGTTTTTAACCGCGCCCTATAAAGTGAGCAGCAGCGAGCATTTTCAATTACCTATACACACAAAAACCAAATCTCCATTTTTTTTTTCTCCACAAAAATATATTCATTCACACACGCAGTCGCTCACACCCCAAATCTCATCGTCTTCGTCTCAATCCTTATCGATCAAAAACCCTTACGCTTCTCTCTCTCTGTTTCCCTCTCTCCCTCTCTCGAGCACATACACTAAATTCTCTAACATCTTCGATCGTGGGTATTTCTTCGAGCAATTTTTTTCCGGTTCGATTTTAATTTATAAAAATATTTATTTTAATCTATCTGTGACTTCTAGTTGCGATTTATTAATTCTGGTTGCATTTTATTTTTGTATCTGATTGATGTGAATTTCAGAATAGATTAAATTCTCACGAGCTGTGAATGAATATCGCGGAGTTTTGAAAATGCCGGGGTTAGCGCAGAGGAATGAACAACTCACTAATGGCTCGTCGACGGCGCCGTGCACACTCTCTGCAAATGGATTCTGGTCGAAGAATTCAGGCGATGTTAGCTACAATCAACTCCAGAAGGTGCTGAATTTTTCTTTTTTTATTTATTTATTTTTTCGTATTAGATTTTGGGTTGTCGCTGGATCACTGTTTTGAATTGTTTGGTGTGTTAATGGGGATGGTTTGATTGGGTTTATATTGGATCTTACTGTTGGAACACTTGTTTGATTACTTTCACGGGGTTTGGATTCATAATTTCAGTGTTTTCTAATTGATACATGTCATTTTAGTAATTGATTTTTTTTCTTTGTCACTTGTTCTTATGCTGGCCATTGAACAATATTTGTCAATTTACTCAAGGTTACCGTCAGCGATAGTTTTCTAATTGGGGCAATGAGTTGTCAACAATGAATCACACAGACATCAAAATGGTTTTAAAAGTACAGGGACTGGGACAATAACAGATTGTCCTACCATTTTAAACTTTTATTTATTTTTTAAAATTTACACCAATAGGGATGGTGCGGCACTACAATAATGAGACATAATATTATTTTATCGTGTCCACAACTATTAAAATGTTGATTCTTGAAACATTAATGTCTCCTTTTTAATTTAGATTTAATTTCTTGTTAATATTTTATTACTTTTGTACCCTTGCTACCGGTGGTAATGGTTTGCCGGGAAATATGCGGATATGTCCGTCGTCTTGCTTCTATTTGTCTATAGCTTATTCAAGCTGGCTCAAGTACGGAAAGAGCATATTTCCCAAAACAAATATGATTACCTCAATAGATATTCATTCTTTCTCTATGCTGTTTATGAAATCTGTGTTTTAGAAATTAATCTTTTACGTAGTTTATTTCAAGAGTTTAGAAAACGTTTGCAGTCCCCGTTGTGGCTATAATATCTAGGCTTTTGAAATTTCTTCACGAGCACAATTGCACTTGCATCGACCACATTTCTTCACAAGTTTTCACGATATGAAGGATTGTAATAAAACATAATTGTGGCTGCAAATTACAATTTAAAATCTTGGTTCATTTTATATTGGATTTGTGTCATATCCATGCTTTCTAGAAAATCAATGATAGTGAACAATTACCAAAATTTGTGGGAGCAGATAGGGGCAGAGAGGAAAGAGATCCTTGAGAATTGTTTTTAACTCACGCCTGTGGTTTTAGATTGATCAGCAATGTTGAGGGAATTGTGGATTGCAAAGACCTTAAGAACCACAATATTGCAGGCACAATTGTGGTTGCAATCTGCAACTTAAGACCTATTTCACAGAGATTGAGCTGTGACCTAGGTCATGTTGACCCTGTTTTCTTGATAAGATTGCAACGAGAGATGCTTACCTTGTCTCTTATGGGTTTATTACTTTTTTGATACAGTTCTGGACTGAGATGTCATTTCAAGCTCGGCAAAAGCTGTTGAAGATAGACAAACAATCGCTTTTTGAGCAAGCTCGCAAAAATATGTACTGCTCCAGGTGCAATGGGTTGCTTCTTGAAGGTTTTGTGCAGATTTCTATGCATGGGAAATCTTTGCAACCAGAAGCGGTGGATGGCCACTTTCCTTGCAACAGAACTGGAGGTTTACGAAAGCTAAACAATGACAGATCAAGCATTGTCAATGGATGCCAAGACGAAATTCAAGATCCATCAATACATCCTTGGGGAGGTCTGACCACAGCACGTGATGGCTCATTAACACTTATGAGCTGCTACTTGTATTCAAAGTCTTTGAAAGGACTGCAAATTGTAAGTGCGGCTCATTTATATTGGATCCTTCTGCCATTCATTTCTCTGTGGGTAGCTAAACTTCTGCACATTTTAGGTCTTCGATGGGGCACGTTCTAGGGAGCGAGAAAGAGAACTGCTTTATCCTGATGCCTGTGGTGGGGGAGGCCGTGGTTGGATAAGCCAAGGAATAGTCAGTTATGGTAGAGGACATGGTACAAGAGAAACATGTGCCCTGCATACTGCCAGACTTTCATGTGATACACTAGTAGATTTTTGGTCAGCACTTGGAGAGGAAACACGACTTTCTCTTCTAAGGATGAAGGAAGAAGATTTTATTGAGAGACTTATGTACAGGTATCTATCTATTTGTCCATCCCTTACACTTTGTTAAGCCTTAGATGAGTGAGGATTGTAATTTTAATATTAGAATCAGTCATACTGTTGAAATTGACTTGCAAAGAATGAGAATGCATAACATGCCTCTGGAAGGTTTAAAATAAATTTCCAGAATATGACCATCTTTGTTAGAATCACCACCAAAGAGTCAGGCAGATTATTGAGAAAAAAATAAAGATTTTTGGGGTTTGATCTTCTTACCCAAGGTGATTTCAAGCCAACTAACTATCTGTTGGATTCACGCCAATTGAGCTGCCTGTTTGGTGCTTCAAATGGTGAACAGGGAATCTATCATTGACATGGAAGTTAAAAAATTGTCCAGCAACAGTAAATAATGAGTAAATATAGTGCTGTATTAATGGAAAAAGCTTTCGTTACATGATTCTGTAGCATAATGGGAAATATTGTAGTGATTCATGTATTTTTAGGTTGAAAAGGATAGTGTTAGGATATAAGGGGAAGTAGAAGTTAGTAAGATAATTAGCATATTAATGAGTTAGGTAGTTGCATAAGGTGTTGTTCAGGTATAGATAGGGTGTGAAGGATAGGAGAAGGGAGTGGATATTTTGGTAAATTGAGCATTAGCTCTTTGTAAAAGGAGAAATCCTTTGTGAAAGGGAAACCCTTGGAGGAGATTGCGCTCCTATTTCTTGTTCTTTTCGTCCTATTCAATAAAAACTTTTTTTTTTCTTTTTCTGTTTAATTCTTGGTTCCTAACAAATTAGTCCGACTTGTCGGATCCTTGAGGGAGAGCCAGTGTTAGAGATGGAGGAAACACAAATTTTGTACGGGGAAGCTACCAACATTTGTAAGATCCAATTGGTTGGATTGCTAGGGCTGAAAACTTTCTTTGAGGTACATGAAATTGATTCTTTTAGTGGGTTGCAACATGCATTCATGAGCGTGGAGGGTGTGGCAATAAGTTGGTTCTATTATTGGTACCAAGATAGCTCGGATTTAGATTGAGAATCATTTTCAACATCTTTGATAAAAAGATTCGAAGATACCTATGGTAGCCACGTCTTTGAAAGATTGACTACCTTGAAGCAAGAAGAGCAAACCAGATTAAAACATGTAGCAAAATAATGAAGACTTCCATAGTGTTCCTGAAAGTGTATGAAGAGGGTGATCCACATTTGGTTAAGCAAGAAAAAAATAGCATGGAGGGAAGGGGATCAAAATGCATTGCAGCAGAGATTAATTCTTGGACAAGAAAGATGGAATTACCCACATTTGTAGGAAGCATAAAAGGGGAATCTGATTCAAAGAGTGGAAATTTTGAGAGTGATGATGATCCATTCTATTCTTGAAATCAGAAAATAGAAGTAAAGAAAAAGACTCAGTAATCAAGTATCAAACCCTTTATAGTGGAGAAGAAACCAAAAAATGAAGAAAATTTAGCAAGAGAAGTGAAAAGTATGTCAAAGGAAGATGTTGCTACATCAATAAAGACTATGAAGATTATGGGATGTGAAAATCAATTTCTTGACAACCTAATTGTTTAGTTAATAAAAAAGGAAGTCGAAGGTGGAGATGTAACTAAACATTATTTTTTCTAAATTCAGATTTCCATATTAAAATTTAGGAATCATTGTTGGACTTTGAATTGATAGCGAAGGTGGTTGGAACATTAATGACATTAAAATCTTGGATTTTTAATTTTCTTGGTGATCCTTTGACATTAATCTTCATTGCCTTCATGAATCACATCTTGGCAATTGAATCAGTATAGAAGGAAGGTTCAAAGGTTGTTATACAAAATCCACTCTCATCCCCACCACCACCCAAGCCACAAGACTTGAATTTGAATATAGTAGTCACTGATTCTCATTCCTGCAGTAGAAAAGCATGAAATGAATAATGGGGTCAAGCTTTTACTATTACAACTGTTGGAAGTCCCACATCACTTACCTCATATCATGTGGTATGGTTTAAGTACCTCTTAGGCGACTCCACCTATTGTTAATTGGTTTCATGTTGGAACTTTAACATGGTATCAGAGTCAAAGCTTAACTTTTTTTTGGTTATTATCTTGGGCCAAAAGTGTCCCTTTTGTTGTGGTTTAAAAATACTCTTTGTTGTTGTCTTGGGCCATAAGTTGCCCTTAAAATACCCTTTGCCTGGTTCGGTAGGCTTTGTTGAAGGGGGCATGTTAGAAGTCCCACATGGCCTGTCTCATGTCATGTAATACTGGTTTAAATACTTCTTAGACTACTCTAAATATTGCTAATTGATTTTATGTTGGAACCTTGACAACAACCTTGAGGACAAGGTTGATTCTAGGTGGGGTGTATTGTTAGGGTATAAGGGGAAGGAGAAGTTAATAAGTTAGTTAGCATATTAATGAGTGAGTTAGTTGTATAAGGTGTTGTTAAAATATAAATAGGGTGTGAAAGATAGGAGAAGGGAGTGGATACTTTTGTAAATTGAGCATTAGCTCTTTGTAAAAGGAGAAATCCTTTGGGATAGGGAAACCCTTGGAGGAGAGTGCACTCCTATTTCTTGTTCTTTTTATTCTATTCAATAAAGAAACTTTCTTTTCTTTTTCTGTTTAATTCTTGGTTCTTAACAAATAGGTTAAGTTCTAAACCCTAAACTTTAAGATCATTAGAAGTATTGTATTTCTTAAAAAAATTATATTTATTAGTCAAAATGACTACACGTTTGCCTTTTCTAGAAAAAATTTGAGAATGATCTAAGAGAGCTGCTTATTCTATATCAGTTCGTATTTGATGTTCTTCATTCTTTGTTGAATATGTGTGTTTACTGTCTGCTTTTATATTGTCCCAGAGCAACTTCCCCAGGGTCAACTAAAGGATGAATATATTAATTGTATTTCTTGACAGAGCTTGTCTGATATTGAAGGTTTTGCCCTAATTCTTGTTTATTATAGTTTAGATTAGAAATTGCATGATTAGAAAATTGTCCAAAAACAGTTTTAGTTCTTAACGTAAAATACTAGAGAAGTATAATGATTTAGTTTGTTATTAGACTGCCATTATTTATGAAATTGCAAGGTTTAGGCTATTGGATACTTGGGACTTGTGGATTGTATACACAAGTAGTTTGGATGAGAAAGGATGATTTTGTTGGAGGCAATTAGATACTTCTTTGGGACTTTGTGGAGTGTAGATATGGACTGTTATATAAAAACTGATTGTTATGTAAGTTGTTGCATGCAATTATTGAGAAGATAAATCAACAGGTGAGCTGTTGTAAGGACTGAAACTAGACATCATTCTCTACTCAAATGGTGTGGTTGCTTCATTAAGGTTTTGGGCAATAATTAAGCCAACATATTACTGTCCACTAAGGCACTGGCCTTTTTATGATCGTGATCTTGTTTGTTAGGAGATTTCTTGAAAGGTAACACAAGTGGAGTAAGTATAACGAGATCCTTAATTAATGGTACCCAATTTAAGAAAAACAGATAAACAAGAAAAGAATTTGAAGAAAAGTGTATTAGATATAAATAATGGACAAGGAGACTTTGAGATCTTCAGAGGGATTTTGACAAAGGCACCTTGGTAGATTAGAATGTTAACTTTGATATAAATAGGTAAAAGTTAATCTATTATAGATTCACTGCACTGTTTTCTACATTATTACTGGTTTATATAATATTTAAGTGTTATGTCTAGGGAGTTACGAGTTCTGTCAGCAAAAAAATATTGAGGGAAGCCTTAAGTTGCATACTGTTTATTTAAATTTTTTAACATTGTGTCTGTTGCTGTCTTGTTCTACTGGGTCATAGAATCTGATGCTTTCTATCATCAAATGGCTGTTTGTTCTATTAGAGTTATATTATAGAAAGAATTTTATTAGTCATTTCTTTTGAACATATTTTTGCCAATGTTCATTTGAATACATAAAAGCAATGCTTAATAGTTCATTACTAGCAACAATTTAATCTATTTTGTCATCATTATTAAGTATATATGAAACTTTACTCCAAAGCTGTACGTTACTTGGTGAAACCCCTTGTACAGGTATATAGTTGTATGTTTCTAAGGATGTTCTATTCGAGGTGGAGCTAGAGAATTAATGTCAAGGAGACCAATATTTACAATTATTATTATTATTTTTATGACGGCCATAAAATGTTGTTTTAATAAAATATAAAAGAAAAAATATTTTTTGGGGGACCATGCTCCACCCCTGGCTATATTGCTTTGTTTGGTAGAGTGGAAAGAAATGGAGGAAAAAGAAAAGAAAGAAAGAGAAATAGGTGAGAAATAGAGTAGAGCAGAAATGAAGGTTGTTTAGTTGAAGAGAAAGTATAAATTTATAATGTTAGTTTTAATTTAGCTTTTATTTTATATTTATTATTATTATTAATATTGTTTTATTCCTTTAGAAGAATGAAACATAAAAGACATCCTATAATCAGTTATACATTTGTTTTGTATCGGGAAAATGTACAAAACCCAACATAATCAGGACAACATAATTATGTTGTGGTGCAGAACGCCTATCTTTGCTGTTCATCTTACTTTTAAGTGGACATACTGTAGCAGCGGAACCACATAATTTTTTCTGTTTTTTTCTTCACATGTCATGCTATACAAACTTGATCCAGTCCGACCTTCTTCACATTTCTTGCTATAAAAAGTAGATCTGGTCCCTCGTCATTTTTCTTTCCGTGCCTGCTTCTTTCATGTGTTCCAAGCCGTGGTTATGCTTTTGCTAATGAATTAGCATTTCTATCAGGTTTGACAGCAAGAGATTCTGCAGAGATTGTAGAAGAAATGTTATTCGAGAATTCAAGGAACTAAAAGAATTGAAGCGCATGCGCAGAGAACCTCGTTGCACCAGTTGGTTTTGTGTTGCGGACTCGGCCTTTCAATATGAGGTGTGTCTTGAACATTTTTATCTTGTAAAATCTTTAACGATTGAGATTTTAGTGGAAGTGTCAGAGTTTCTATGATGAATTGTTTCATTGAGCTATTGACAACTATAATGAAAGTTCTACCTAACATGACATCTGTCCATTTTCTTTTTTATTAGGTATCTGATGACTCAGTTCAAGCTGATTGGCGTCAGACATTTGGTGATCCATCAGGAACCTTTCATCACTTTGAGTGGGCTGTGGGGACAACTGAAGGAAATTCTGACATTTTGGAATTTGAAAATGTTGGATTGAATGGATGTGTTCAAGCCAGTGGCCTGGATCTTGGTGGTTTGAGTGCATGTTTTATCACCGTCCGAGCTTGGAGATTAGATAGACGCTGTACTGAATTTTCTGTTAAAGCTCATTCGCTGAAGGGTCAGCAGTGTGTACATTGCAGGTTAATTGTAGGAGATGGTTATGTTACAATCACAAAAGGGGAAAGTATCAGAAGATTCTTTGAACATGCTGAAGAGGCTGAGGAAGAAGAGGTAATTAAAGTTTCTCCAAGAAAATAAACCTTGTGAATTATCCATCATGCACTTGATTTTGATAACTATTCATGAGGAATTGGTCAGATACGTTTTCATGTTATGTAATGATGCTCCCAGGATGATGATTCAATTGACAAGGATGGGAATGAGCCGGATGGAGAATGCTCCCGTCCCCAAAAACATGCAAAAAGCCCTGAACTTGCTCGAGAATTTCTGTTAGATGCTGCCACTGTTATTTTCAAAGAACAGGCATGACTAGATTAAAATATTATTTCCTGTGTGTGTCTGTTCTTGTTCGAGCACTGACCGCATCTTATCCTTCAGGTTGAAAAGGCTTTCAGAGAAGGAACAGCTCGCCAAAACGCACACAGCATATTTGTTTGTCTTGCACTAAAACTGCTGGAGGATCGAGTGCATGTAGCTTGCAGAGAAATCATTACATTGGAAAAACAGGTCTCAGTTATTATGCTTTTAGGAAAAATGCTGTTGGGGACAGGGAAAAAAACTCTTGTTTTTTTTTTTTTGAATTACGCTTCCTAAATTCCAACCGTATATTTTGTCCATAGATGAAGCTTCTTGAAGAAGAAGAAAAGGAAAAACGTGAAGAAGAAGAACGCAAGGAAAGGAAAAGGACAAAGGAAAGAGGGAAAAAGCTTAGGAGGAAGGAGAGATTAAAAGGAAAAGAAAAAAGGTGCTCTGAATCAAATGATGCTCTTGGTTCTGAAACCTCAAAGGAAGAATTGTCTGCAGTTGTTGATGTGGAGCACAATTATCCTGATAGCTGCAGGAACTCAGTTATTGAAACAGATGAAACTAATCTATTAAGGGATGATTCTCCTAACATCCAAGATGAAGAATTACCCAGTGAGGGTAATACTTTGAAACCACAAGACCTCTCTTACGATGATTGTGAGGAAGAAATTTCAAACCCAAAAGATGAGATAGATCAGTCTACAATTGAAGAATCAAAGCTTTCTCATAGAAGACAACGATGTAGGAAAGACTTTCACCAGGATATGCCTGTGAAGTGGCCAGACAGACGGCGATATGCAGTTGTTTCAGAAAATAGTGTGATGGTTGGCGGCAGGTCTGAGCCAAGACATTATGGAGAGAGTTTTGTGACATCATCCAGGGTAATGAATGGTTTGAATAGGCAATCAAGGATCAATGCCCCAACAAAATCCAATGGTCGAAATGTTGGTTCTCCAAAGTTTAATGAGAAGTTTTATAGTTCCAAGAATCGGACAAATGAGAGATGTGATATTCATTCTTGCAGTTGTAGCTTGAGTAATGAATATAAGACAAGGGTTGAACAACATTCACCTATGACTAGAGTTAGTCGGGAGACAAATCCTACTTGTCAGTCTGAATCTGCAGGGGATACATCCAAGCAATTTTATCGTGGTACCAAGAATAATCAAGTAGACTGTATGCATGAGAGTAATGGAAGATCCAAAAACAAAATCTATTCGGGGAGCTATCCCGGTAGGGATTTGTTTCAATCGAAGAGAGTTTGGGAGCCTACAGAATCTCAGAAGAAATATCATTGTATTAATTCTGACTCTGATGTTATTTTGAGGTCCAGTACAGTTCAGGAAACTCAGTCTGACCTGATCAAGTCATCTATTGGGGAAGCTGCTGAGTCAGGTGAAAATGATGTTAAGGAGTGTAATTCAAAGAGATTTGGTGGAGTGGATGAAAGGTGTAAAAATGATTTTCATGTAGAAGTTGAAGGCTCTTGTAGCTCTATGGAAATTGCTTCAGAGGAAGGTGGAATATGTTCAAGCGGAGGCTTTGCCTTAAATAGAGCTGCTGATCCCACTCAAAGTAGCACTTTTAGTTCTGATAACTGCTCATCATGTCTAAGTGAGGGTGATAACAATACCACCTCGTCAAACCATGAAAATACAGAATCCTCAATCACATCAGATTCAGAAGATGTTAGCCGGCAATCCGAAGTAAGAAATAATTTGGATTGCATGGAAAATATGTTGTCTGATTGTCATGAAGTTGCCATAGAGATTAACCAGAATGCCAATGGTGAGGGTTTAGCAAGAAGTTCAAGTTCACTGATTGTTCCGGCCATGGATGGTACAAGAGATTATGCAATTGGAAATCTTGTGGAAACTTCCCAAAATTTTGATACTTGTTTTTCTACCACTATTGTGTGTTCTCAACGTCAAAGTATGCTTCCACCGGTGTCAAACAAAAATATACGTTTTCCAGTTTTTCAAGCTCCTTCAACGGTGGGTTATTTCCATCAAAATCCGGTTTCATGGCCAGGAGCTCCCACAAATGGGTTGATACCCTTCCCACACACAAATCCCTATTTATATGGTAGCCCTCTTGGATATGGCTTAAATGAGGACCCACGCTTCTGCTTGCAGTATGGAGCCTTGCAGCAACCAGCTCCCTTATTCAACCCTGCTATTCCAGTTTATCAGCCAGTTGGTAGAGCTAATGTCTTGAATGCAGAGGAACGGCCTGGAGTTTCAAAGCCAGCTTCTTTGGTAGAGCATCTTAATGGATCTATTGCAGAAAGGGTCGTTCCACCTGGAGCTATTTCCAAGAAACCAGCATTATATGGAGAAGTTGTGCATGATAATTCTGCCAAGTCACCTGAGAGTAACAATGATTTTTCCTTGTTTCATTTTGGTGGACCCGTAGCCCTTTCAACAGGATGTAAATCGGTGCACACATCTTTGAATGGAGATACTGTTGACGATTTTGGGTCAAAAAGTTCAGCAGATAATGTTGAAAATGTTCATAATTGCAATAAGAAAGAGACTCCAGCCATGGAGGAATACAACTTGTTCGCAACAAGTAATAACTTAAGGTTTTCAATTTTCTAAAATCATAAAGTCAGAAGTATAAGGTGGCTGTTGTGGAACCCAGTCCCTATCTTCACATATGGTAATGGAGGTTTGAGTACCTTGTAATTTGGTGAACAATAAGCTTCCTTTCAGCAATTTCCAATTTAGCCTATAGCTTGATTAGTTAATTGTTGCCCAATTATCTTCTTCTTTTTTTTTTGGTGTAGAGAAAGATTGAGAGTGTTGGTATTTTAAAGATTTTTTGTGAGGTCATAAGCACCCTAAAGTTTCATTGAAGCATTTGTTCTTCATAATTTTTTGTCATACTGAAACCAAAGTCTTTATAGTGAAAACTGTATTAGAGTTTTTGAGCCCACATTGCCATTATGATTAAAGGATTTGCTTGAATTCAAATTTAGATCCTTTCATGCAATCTCACGATTTTGTCATCGCAAGGACATGCAATATTTGGGTGTGATGTAAAGTCCAATTCTAAATTTGGATTCCATAGTTTTAACGGGAGTCTTATGTGTAGATATAGTAAAAGTGGCATAGGTATAAACCATAGCACCTTTCAGAATATTCAGCCGTATTTGCTCTTTTTTACTTTCTTCATCTTGAACGAGGTGAAAAATTCCCAGTATTCTTAAAGTAATACCCGTGAGAGTTGTTGAAATTTAATTACTAAAAGTTTTTTTTTTTTTGTATGACCTGTTTAAAGATGATTTAAGTGTTAACCAACAGAAGGGAAATGGGGAAACTTCAGTCGTTTGGTGCAGTGGAAGAGGGAAATGAAAGGAAATTTACACTTGTGATTACTTTATTTGGGTGTGATGATGGTGAACTTGTGCAATGTTGTATGACTTTAATTTTGCCATTCATAATTCGCCATGGTAGAATCACGATGGAGCTCTTATGCCTTGTTTCGAAGGTAGTTGATTTTGGAGCATAAAAATAAAAAAAGGGAAAAATATTGAAAATTTTGTAAAATTTTAAAAAATAAAAAATAATTTTAACACATGTAACTGCATTAGTAATATAATAATTATTTTTTATATTATTAATAATTGTAAAAATAAATATTATCTTTTCTTTATTTATAAGTAATATATTAAAAATAATTATTTTATTTCATAAAAGATAAAATTATTTTATAAGTGATCGATACTAAAAATGGTTAGAAAATAAGAAATTTTATTTATATAATATATAGATTAAGTAATTTAATAGTTTACCAAACACTTTTCCTTAAACGTTAATAAAAATTATGAGTTTAAAATAAAAAATGGTTAAATATGAAGTAATTATTTTTTGAAATTTTATATATTTAAAAAAAATCATTTAAAATTAACTATAATTTTTTATTAGTATTGATAAAATCATAAATATATTTTTTTATCTTATTATTAATACTAAGATAATGATTGTGATCTACTTAGAAAGGATTAAAAGAGAAATATTATCATTTTGAATTGCTTTTCACACTTTTTTTTATGTGGTATCTGTTTGTCTTCATATTTTTTATAAAGAGGAACTTGAAAATTTTATAATTAATATTATTTTTATATATAAAATATGTTTAAACCTAAATATACTTACACAATAATCTGCTATGGCAGAAGAATAATTTCTTTTAGACATAAAATATCTGTTTTAATTAAAATTATACTTGAGTTACACTCTAATTATTAAATATACCTTCAACCATTTTTTTGAATTATTAAATTTAAATCTTGAACTCTAATGACATATTAACCATAATAACATTACATATTAAAACTTTAAAAAAAATACTAAAACTCTAATAACATATTTGAAATATTAATAAACATTAAATCAAAAAAATATTTAAAAATTTATTAACAAAATTTAAATCCTTACGACATACGGAACCCGAATGACATATCCCATATAATGTTTTTTTAACATTAAAACTATAATGACATTTAAAAATTATTAAAAAAACACTATACCCAATAAAAATATTATAAAAACTCTATTTTTTTTAAAATGTTATAACTCTCACTACGAGCACAACCGATAATCTTTTTTTGTCTTAGTTAGATAAGTTTATTTTAAAATTTATTTATTAAAAAAAATTAAAGTATTATACTTCAATTTATATAAATTCATTTTGTCAATGAATATTTTATTAAAATGGCATTTTTAAGTTGGAGGCTTAATTTTCGAATATGCTTAAGGTATAATACTCGCATAGAACATTATCATGGTATCATAATATAATGTATGATAAATCTACTTTGTAAAACATAGATTGACATGTACACATTGCTCTTTTCAAACAACAAATAAAAGCATAATGACATAATCTTATGCTTGGCTTTTGAAGACGAACAACAATGCATAAAACATTTGAAGTATAATATAATTCATTTATTATCTAAAAAGTATATAGGAAAATTTGCAAAAATAAGTGCATCTTGAGAAGGTAAAAGGGTAAGGGTAATTTTTTTTTATCAATTTAATATTTTCTCTAAAAGCAAGACTAGTCTAGAATTGAAAAGTTGAAACTTATATAGTCCAAATTGCTTTAAAAATGAATTGAGTTTAAAATTAAACTAAACTAATTAAATAATGAATAAAGACTTCCAACAAATATCAATAAAATTATACCATTTTATGATTTTTCATCCCAAAATTCAAGTTATCTGTCAAAAAGGAAACATTATATAAGAAGTTGAATCAAATCGTGTATTCAAAAGTATCCACTCTAGGAATCACGTCCTTGAGCAGATCAAAACAGCTAAATATAGGTCAGGTTCATCCACAAATTCAGCCACATCAAAAGATTGAGCAGCTGCAACACTTTGTAAATATGTTTTATCAGGTAGGTCAGAAACCACTACATCTGGATACTGTTGTCGTTGCTGTTCTAATACTGCTTTCCCTTTGGGATGACTGATAATCACTCTTCCACCTAAGGTCAAATCCAAAATTAAATACAAGAAAACATGTTGCGTGCACTGGGCTAAACTTAACAAGGAAAAAAATATTGACTAAGAATAAGAAAATAAGATGGAGCACTAAGAAAATCCATCAATTTACTGTGCAATACAGTCCAGAATACACACAACTAGCAGAATACAAATACAAATACACATTTATAAATTATCGTTTAAATAAAACGTAGTCACAAACTAATCAATAGCCGAGTAATAATAGGTGTAAAAGATCAGAATTTCAGGATTGTTTTTCCAAAAGTCTCAACCCTTCACCGAAAATTATTGATAAACTAAAGCAGATGGCGAAGGACGAAGAGGAATTCCAAGTGTTCCTAATAACACGAAAAATTTAGAATCGGGAATCCAACTTCAGATTCCAAGGATATTATAGAGGTAAGAGTACAGATAATTCAAAAGGAGTTTTTTTTCTATATCATTTTTACAACCATAGTTCCTATATATAGGTAGGAACTGGTAACAAACATATATAACAGCAAACAGAGAATTTTTATATCAATTATTCAAACCTTGATACAAAAAGTCACAAGAAAAACATTCCTCAATGCTTCATTTTGAGACAAAACATGTGTGATAGTTTGTCTCAGAAGCAAATAGAGTGACTGCTCGTGCTTGAATGAAGTTCACCTTTAAAATATAAAATTATTATAGAGCTAGTAAGTAGAGACACTCTAACACACTCCAACAACATTCTTTCCCATTGATTAAAATTCTTTGAAAGGTACAAAATTATGAGTAAAGAGGCTTATTAAATAAGAAGTTAAGTCTTGTTTAGATAAATTTCTTGATAATCATTTACAGGGAAAGAAAATAAAATCTACTTCAGGTTAAGATTCTTCCATAAGTTAAAATTAGCTTATACATTACCTAGTGTATACAAGTTCTCTTGTACAACTTCTTCAAAAACTGATTTAACTCATGTATTAGTTAATTTCAACTTAGTATAAATAAAATTAATTCATTTTATCTTCTTATTTTTTTCTAAAGAGGACATTACACCGAAATGTCAATTATAACAGACAGTATGTTTGAAAGTGTTTGATAGGGCGGTGCTAACATTTCTCAGACGGTAAACAACCGAGGCAGCTTTGTTGGGTTTCCTACTACACAACACGCAACAAATTGGACAGCAACAGGAAATAGCAAAATGTCATTGACAGAGGAAAATACCAATTAGTAGCCATTATGAAGTTCTCAAAAATTGAAGAGAAAACTAACCTGGAGCACATTTTCCAGACAGAGACCCCAGAACTTGGTCAAGTTTGAAGGGTAACGCAGGAAGAAAATAAAGAAACACAGCATCAAAAGGAGCCCACTTTTCAGGAACATGTACAATCTCCCCTTGCCAGCACTTAACCCTGTCATATTTTTCTTTGACACAGGCCAACACGAGAAGCGAGTCATGGACAACAAACAGAGAGGAAGTCAACCCCACCAAGGAATCCACAAAGTCCTCAGACCCAGTTGAAACCAAAACCCTCGAACCCTCTTGGACCTTCCCAGCAGACATAATGCGCTCAACGCTTCGCTCTTCGACGCAGTCGAGTACGGACCAGTCCTTCTCCACGATTTCTGGGATGGAAACAAAGGACGCGCCCTCGGGAAGAGAAATGGGGGCGTCAATGTTTGAGTCAGTGGCTCGCGGCAAAGAGGGTTTTGGTGCGCGAGAAAATGGAGAGAGTGTGAGTGGAGTGGAGCAGAGGGTGTTCAGAAAGGGTTGGTATTTGGTTTGAAGAAGGGGGCGGAAGTCGCATGGTGGTGGGGGTATGAGAAGGAAGGAAGATAAAGAAACTGAATTCATGGAAGAAAAAAAGAAAGAAGAGAGTTTTAGATGTTGAAGAGTGGAGGTGAGGGTGCAGAGTGAAACCAAAGTATGAAGGATAGTTTTTAAATACTAAAACAAAATTGAAATTGAGAATGTAAAACTTTTTTTATATTGGTTAAATTCATAAAATTTTAAAACTCTCTGTTAACTTTTTTCTTTTTTTCTTTTTTTTTTCATCGTAGGTTGCACTTGTCTTTGGCAAATTATGCATGTCAAATACTTTCATTTCTAAACAAACTACAATTTTTTTTTTACAGTAGTTTTACATTTTAGTTTTAATTTTGTGATAATATCATTCCACATAACATTGATAAATAATTAAAATTTTTTTTTTTGTGGTTTATTCTTCTTCCTGTAAAGGATTTTTCTTCCTTCTATGTATATTTCAAGAGAATTTCTTTCTCTTTTCTCCTCCTTATGTTTTCCAATTTATTAAGAAAAAAAATGTAGAGCTTCATTCTAGAAGATATTTTTGAGTAAGTTTTCCTTCTCTATTGAAGATTCCCTTTCACTCTTCTTCTCTTCCTTGCTCCAATATTTAGGATACAGGGTTTGGTTTATAAAGGATTTTTGGTTTGATTTGATCTTTGAGTTGATTTTCTAGGTTTTGATGCTTGAAGTTGATGAAGGAGTATCCTTCGCATTCAACTCAGTCATCTCTTCCAAATTGTTGTTTCCTACGGGTGCAAGAAACCAAAGGTAATGGAGTCTATAGTTTTAGGTTATATTTTCATTAAATTCTAATTTATTTTATGTACAGTTCGATTTAATAAAATATAATTTTATAATTTATAACATAAATCACTTGAATTCAATTTTTTTATCATCCAAAATTTAACCCCTAATAGATTTCAATCAAAAATAGGCTGTATTCAATTTTTATTATTAATATGAGTTGAAACATCTAGAGAGTAAATTATAAGAATAATAAGGTTTGCGGCGTTTCTTGGAAGTGAGGTTTTGTCAAAAGAATAAAGGTAAAGTATAAAATAAAAATTAATAAAAAAATCTATAAAAATGGTGATTTAAATTATAAAGAGCTAAAAATATTTATTCTCAACTTATAGTATTTTTTAGAATATAAGTTTTTTTTATAATTTAATAATTATCTTGGTTACTTTTATTTTATGCTATTTATAACTTTTTTTATGTAAGGTGACGTAAAAAAAAAAAATTAAATAAAATAATGAATAAAATCTTCGAACGGTTATTCGTTTTCCATATCTTTCTTTTAATCCACTTTGTTGATATGTGTTACTTTGTAACTACGTATACTAAGAAATTGGATAGTAACTGTCTCCACAAATCTCCCAATATACCACATGAAAATTACCTACCATGATCATTTTCGATATCTTCTTTCTTCCATAAATTGTGTCCCTTAACTTCAAGGTTCCTTACTCCTTAAATATTTGATTCTCAATTAGTGATGATCTAACTCCCTCGATATTACTCAATTCTTTTCTTTGATAACACTTCTTTATCGATTTTCTATCTTCATAATATATATCCTTTATCGATTAACATTTCAATTCTTTACAATAATCGATGTCTCCCTCTCGATTCATTTCTTTTGTAATTTGATGCTTAAAAAAATGTCCCTTAAGATAATGATATATGAATCTTGATGAATGTACACTCTCTTATCCTTAATATTAGATTATCTTCAAACATTTTATCTTAATTTTATTCAAAAGTTGCGTCTTCCCATATTTCTATTATTACATTTTATTCCCCTCATAAATACTAAATTTCAGTAATAAATGTTACTCTATGTGTCATCATTCCATTAATTGTCATTGGTCTAAAATTAGGTTAAAATATACATAGTATCATATATGAGTCTACTTAAAAGCCCACTAGTAACCCCATTTCTCCCGGGATTTTGTTTTCTTTTAAAATTAAAATTGTTTCATCTTCCTCGCCACAACAATCATCCAACCCTTACTTTCTAAACTCCCTCTACTTCCTTACCTGCAACCTTGCTTACTTTAGTTATTTCCATCTTCATCTCCGATTGTATGTGATTCACATATTCCACTATGCACTTTGGTCATAGCTATGTATGAATCATCTTTATTTAGATAAAATTTCATCCACTCCTCTCTTGTACAATTCCTTATTCAAAAGGACATAAACTTTTGGCTCAATATATGGTTTTGTTATCAATTAATTTATTGGGATTTTTAAAATATTGAATTATTGGAAACCTTCAATCATTATTATTCAATGAATTTATTTGCAATACTTCAATTTGTTGAGATATTTTTTCTTTAATCTGAATTAACTCCTCGAACCTTCTATTTGATACTTTTTACCTCGAAGCTATCTAAGCTAAATCATTTACTCCCTAATAAATTCTAGAGCCACATGGTCGAATCGAATATCTCAAATTTACTTATTAACTTAAACACCTTATTTAAATACTTAATCAAATTCGAAGTTCAAACATTTATATTCTCGATTCACTTGTTTAATGGTTAATTGAGATCCCCTTGAACAACCACATATTTTACATGAAGCTCGATCAAAGTTTTCAGTCCCAATAATAACGCTTCTTCATATTCAACTTCATTATTCGAACATATCAATTTAATTTCAAACAAAATTTTAGTGGGAATATCATGACAATATAAAACACATTGATCATTTTCTACAACACATACTTGTTTGATTTGTACATGTGTATGATCTGCTAGAAAATCGGTAATAATTTGTCCTTTAATCGATTTCAAACTTTCAAACTACAATGAAAATTTTATAAACATTAAAATACATTTACCTAACAACTTTAATATTTTGTTCTTTGAAAAAATGATCACATAAAAAAGTTTAAGATAATATTTCAATTTGTAACATGTGTAATAAAGACTCCATGTTAACTTCTCGAAAAAACTATATTAGGTTTCAAACATCAATTAAAAATCAGCTCAAATAATATATCACATTCTTTTCTATTCAAATCTTCTTGAACCAACAAACTTGTTTCAACATTTTACTTCGATAGATCGGATTCAACACATGATGGACTGCCTAGCACTCATTTTATCTCATCGAAAGCGTTCTAGTACTCAATACTCCACTTGAACTCACTTTCTTTCTTCAATCTCTATAAAGTAGAAAATATATAAGTTTTTCATGACAAATTTAAAATAAATCTCCTTATATAATTAATTTTACCTACCAAAAATTGTAACTCCTTTTTATTTATAAAAGGATTAGTTCTATCATTGTTTTTCTTTATTTGTTTCAATTTCAGTTCCTTTTTTATGAACAATAAATTCTAAACGTTCACCTGCGATCACTCCAAAAGTGAAGGGAGCCCATGTTAATTTCACACCCTAAAGCAAGCTCATGTTGGTTTAGGGTTTTGTTTGCCATCTTTCTCTTTCATTGATTTATTCTCCCTACAGTCATTGAATTTAGTCGTCTTTAGTTCTGATTTGATGGTTTGTTTATTCCAATTCGTCTTTAGTTCTGATTTGATGGTTTGTTTATTCCAATTTTCAGTCAAAAAACATATTTTTGACAATTCATCCTTTCACTTGTAATAATTTGACAATTCTATTACATAAATAATAATAATAATAATATCTTTTTCATATTATTTTTTATCTAAATTTGATTAGAATTTTTTTCTAGTATTAAATGAGAAACTTTTAACTAATCTTGATTAAAATTATTTTAACCCGCGTGAATCGAGATAATTTCTAAAAAAAATACTAATAAGGACATTGAAAAAATAAGCTGATGAAAAATTGTGGCTGACAGGTGGTTTAAGTTGATCTTATAATTGTTGTCAATTAAGAAAAACTTGTCAATGTTAAATGAAGTCTATGATTAATAAATAACTTCGATAAATATCGCCTAAAAATATTACTGGTTTAACTTTTTAATTATTAAATATTTTTTAACTTAAAAATACTATTTTTAATTAATAATGATAAAAAATTATATCTAAATAAGGAAAACTAAAATTCAATAATTTTGATTTGTTTCAGTCATATAAAATATTTAAAAACAAATTAATTTAAAATAAAATTAATATTCAATATATATATGTTTTTTTTTCTAAAACTGGTGAAATTCTTTATATAAATAGATAACTAATATCTTTGTTTTCAATTTTTACGGCTTTTTATAGTTTTTGTTAAAGTATTTGAAAGCTAAATTTTATATTTTCTCTAGTAGCTTCTTTGCCCCTATTAACGGTAACACATTGCTACAAAATCTATTTTTACTTTATTAATTACTTTTGTTAGTAAATTTAAGCTTGGTTATCATAATATTATGAGTAAAAGAGGTGAAGCAGTGTGATGTTCTTGAAAGGGAAACTTACTTATAAATATATTTATGATTTTATCTCAAAATTTAATAATTATTAAATATTTTTTTATATTTATAATTTTTTTTTAATTTTTATTTTTTTATATTTATTTATTTATTAGTAATATATAATTTGATCTCAAAATAAATAATAAAAAAGATAGTCACAAAATCAATTTTGCTATCAATACTTGCAAAAGAGATAAAGTCCGTGCAATGCTATGTTAATTTAAGTTATAACAATGTTATGGTATCATTTTTTTCCCGTTAATTTATAAAATATATTATTATACTCTTTTATTTTTTAAAATAAAATATATATTTTAGTTGAGATTGTCAGTTCAATCTTTTTTTTAATAATTATGGTGTTAATCCATTTACTGTAAATTGACGCGTTCAAATTACAAGTATTCCACCTTTTCTTCATTACATAAATTATTAATTTAAGTGTAACGTTTTGGCAATACTATATTTTAAAAGTGACACCCTTGAATTGCGATAAATTCAACATATTCAATACGCAAGTATTTAATGAAGAACCGCTTGTTTTTTTATTCATAGGATATTAAAATATTTTTAATAGGATTTACTTATTCAAATTCATATACTTAATTAAATTATTAATTGCTTTAACCAACTTTTTATTAAAAAAAATTAAGTAACGGTTCGGTTTGTTTGTATGGAAAATTATAAAGTAAAATTTATTTAATTTAGAAAAATAAATAGAAAAAAGTATTTATTTTGCTTAGTAGAAAAAACTGAAAAAAAAAGTATCACTTAATGTACATGTTTTTATACATAAGAAAAAGTAGAAAATGTAAGAGAAATATTATATTATAAAATTATTTTTATTTAAATAAATAATTATTCTTTTTTATATTTATAATTTTAATATATATAATGAAATTTCATATAAAATTTATTATAAAAATTAATGAATAATTTAATATATGTTTTTTATTTGTTTATAATATGATATTGTTTTAATAATTTAAATTCAAATATTAAAAAAATATTAATTTTATAATAAAAATATTTTATAATTATCTAGTAAAGTATATATTATTGAAAAAATGAAATATTATTTTAAAAATATATTTTAATAAATTAAAAATTAATCTATAATTATATGAACAATTTTGTAATTGAATAAATATTAAATTTTTATTTCATTATTTGTTATATTTTAAAATGAAATCTTTTTTATTTTTTTCATATCATTTTCTTTTTAAATGAATATGATATTTTTTATTTTATTTTATTTTCATGCGACCAAACAGGTCCAAAAAGTTATTTAAATTTTTTTGTTAATTATTTCATCAAATAATTTTAGAAAAATAATAAAAAGAAGTAAATGAGAACAGACATCTTTAAAGTTTCTTAAGAAATGAGTAATTATTATTAATTAGAAAAATCTACACAAGAAAAATAAATAATCTTCTTGATGTAAAATTATTTTTCTTAAAATATTTATATTTTTACTTAATAAAAATAGTTTTCTTAATATTAAGGGGAAAACATCCTTTTTGTTTTATTAAAGAGATGATAAAACAAATTTAAAAATTTATTATTGCAGGGTAACTGTTTAACAAATGTATTAGTATAAGTGAAATTCTACCTAGTTTCCCTGTTTCCTTTCATAAACTTGGCTTTTGCATATTTCTTCTCGTAAGAGGTTTTTCCAAAATGTTCAATTTCTTAAAATGCGGTGGTGATTTCAATCATAATTTAATTTCTTTCCACCGTCCTCACTTATTTTTATTAGTTTGTAATTTTAGTGACAAATGACTAGTACAAAAAAAAACAGAATAAGTACATATTTTCATTGTTTGATGATAATCAAAATAGTGAAAAAAACTTTAGGTTATATTCCACTCATATATAAATAAAAATGAGGAGAAATTGTAAAAAAAAATTATTATTTTATAAATTTGTTTTCAGTCAAATAATTGTTTATTTTTAATTTTATAATTTTCATATATATATATATATATATATATATATATATAAATAACATTTTAATTATTATTATCATAATAGAGTGTTATAAATATAAAATTAATTATAAAGTCAAATATTAAGTTGATATATTTTTTATTTTTTTAATATGATATATTTTATTAATTTATATTTAAATGTTTTTAGAAAAAAATATGTTTTTAATAAAAATATTTTATAATTATAGTACAAAATACACATTATGAAAAAATGAGATATGAATTTAAAGGAGTTAGTTTATAAAGTTATTTTTCGTTAAAATATCAATTAATAATTATATATAATATAATATAAGGATAGAAAAGATAGGTATCTCTAAAGTAAAATATTAATTATTTTGAATATCTTTTTATTTTATTAGGGGAATGTGAGATATGGTAAGTTATTTAAATTTTGTTAAAAAATAAATAAAATAAAGTAAACGAGAGTTGAGAATAGGAAAGACATTTATTAAAATAAAATAAATAATGAATTACTTAAAAATATATACTACAATAAATTTATATTTTTTTAAATAATAAATTAAATAATTAATTACTTAAAAACATATAATAAAATAAATTTATATTTTTTTTAAATAAAAAATAACTCATATAAATTATTTTTGTTAGAAATGTCTTAAGATCATCTCTGATACTAATTATTTAATGAAATATTTACCCATCATTAATTATTTCAAACAACTTTCAAATGAAAGAATTTAAGATGAGATGATAAGTAAAAAAAATAATAAAATAATTGAAAATGAAAGAAAGAATAAATTCTTTAAAATTTATTAATTTTTTATTAAAATAAAATTAATAATAAATTTCTCAATGGCTAAATAAATTCATATTTTATGTTTTTTCATGATAAAAATGAACTTGATCCCGTTGAAGATGTGGTAAGCGCGTATTCAAGTACAGCCAAAAAAATATACAGCAAAGCTCGCGGTTTAATAATGTATCCACATCCTCACTGCAAAACTACATCTTACACTCAGTTCAAACCCTCACTATAAAACCATCTCTTACACTCCTCAAAGCTTCTTCACCAGAAGATATACTTTTCTTTTACAAGAGCACCATTTCCATCCAGTGCCTCTTGAACCCCAGCACCATGGATAAAAACATTCTTTTCTCAGTCTCAGACAGTGGGAGCAGTACTTCTAGCAACCTAGACTACACCATTACCTCTGCTAACTCAGTGGATGTCCAAGAAACGGAGTGGTCAAGTGTTCCGCAGCAAGTTGTACCATTATCATCACCACCTCCGAGATCTAAAAAAGCTAAGACGGTGGTGCTTTCATTGCTACCGCCGTCACCATCCTCAAAGCCTGACAAACCCATGAGTGTGGTGCCGGTAGCATCACAATCAGGAGCGTTATGGAGAAACAGTTACGTTTCCGGATGGAGTGGTGCAAGCCAACGCCAGACTTATTACCATCCTTATCAGAGGGAGATCGGTCAGCAGCCACTGAGAACCGTGGATTTCCTGTCTCAGATGGAGGCATGCAGTTCGTCACCAATTCAAGCTCCCAGGGCAAACCCTACAATTGAAATGCTTGAAGACTGGGCAGCCTCGCTTGGCCTTGGACATGGAAAGAAGAGGCCTTTTTATTTGAAACTGAAGCTTTAGGCTGAGTTAGGGTTTTGCTTGATTGAACTTGGTTTCCATCTTTCTCTCTCATCACTTTACAGTTTATGCATTTGGTCATCTTCATTTCTAGTTGAGTAGTTTCTCTGTGGAGGATATTGCCAGTCTTGTAGCTTGTCCACTCTGAAATTTAGTGTTATTTTCGCCCCTTTTATGTTAATTAATTAAAAATGATGTTTTTCTTTTTGTTTTGTTCAATCTTAAGCTATTTGTGTTGTTGCTTCTTTTGGTCAGACTCTCAGTGGAGTTTGTTTCAATCCATGAGATCAGAATCATAAAGTTTTATGAAGCCAAAGAAATTAATTCAACTGATCAATAGCCATTAATGAAATTCAAACAATTATGCTTGGAAGGTCCAAACGCACACTAAATGATAGAGAACTAAGGTTTATTTTACCTTATTATCCCCTAACGATGAAGTTACTGTTGTTTCACTCTCTACGCAAAATACTACATAAAGAAGACAAGCCTGAAAAGAATTTAAAATGTTGCTGCATCATGAAATGGATACATCTGCAACATCTCCATAACAATAGTTGCTGCAACCATATACTAGACGGCCATTAAAGTTAACGAGAGATCTGATTCTGGTATAATGATATGCTTTTTACCATAAATTTAAAATTTATTAAAAATATCTCATTCATTTTCATTTTAAAAAGTATTTAACCCATTGGTTGTTAAATTTTCATTCATGAATATTACTGAAAGTGGCAGAAATATATATATATATATATATATATATATATATATATATATATATATATATATATTCAAGAGGGTATACTTAACATGATTTTGTTAAAATTATTATTAATTATCTGATTTTTTTATTTTTATTTTGTTCTTCTAATTTTATATATTTAAATTTGTTGATCAGTTGTTCTTTGAAAGACTTGTGTTTAGTTGAGGATATATGAATACAATTAAAAATATTCTCCTAATTGTATATTATTTAAAAAATAAATTAATTTTTAGATGTGCCACAGTTTAGTGAAAGTGTTTAAGGAAGTAAGAACTTCTAATGGATTATTAAGAAGACTTTGAAATTATTTTTTTACACTCTATATCGTTGACAAATGGATGTAATATCATCATAACTATTCTACATCGGTATAACATGAAAATGAAAATTAAATTATAGGTTTTGATGTTCAACATATAATTTTTTTTTCTACAATTTTATTATAGTTTAATTTTTTTTAATTCGTAAACAATTTGTAAAGACTATTTTAATACTAAGTATATTTTATGATGGAATTATAAAATACTAAGTATATTTTATATTGGAATTATTGCTTCATACAATTATGAGTGTTATTTCTAAAAGTCACATGTATGCATCATTTTGTGATAAAGTAAAGTTATTTAATTTTAATTTCCATGTTTTTTTTATTAATTTAGCTATGTCAGTTATTTACTTTAATTCTATATTTGTTTTAAATAATAAATGTTATATAAGGTCATTAATTATATTTTGAATTTTTTTCCACAATTAATAACTTAATGTAACTAATACTTTTTAAGATAGTTTTCATTTAAATATATATATATATATATATATATATATATATATATATATGAATATATTTATTAATACATCTCTAATAGGAATAAATCATATAGGTTTTTTTTTTATTTTAAAAAATATAAAATATAAATTGATAATGTCATACCATATTTAAGAAATTCATAATTCAATTTATTTTAATAGAATTTTTTATAAAATTTTAAAGAATTTTGTATTTTATTTTTTTTATTTATTTTGTTAAGTTATTTGATGAACAAATTATTAAAAAATTTTAAACAATTTATTATGTGAGTTATAATTCTTTCAATAATTTTTCGAAATAACAAATATTTTATTTAAATATTTTAATAAATAAATAAAAAAGTTAGATCCACAAATACGTTTATCAATAATGGAACTCGAACATCATCTGAACTAACTTTAAGTTTAGCCTATTAACCACTTGTATCCAATTTTGATAAAATTTTATTAATAAATATATTTGAGTTGTTTGGAATTTTTAATATACATTTTTAGGAGAACAAATTAAAAAAAAGGAATTTTTTTATTAAAATTAACTTATAAATAAGTTATATAAAAAAGTTAATTATATATATATTTTTTAATTTTTTTTCTCCTAAAGTACTTATTATAACATGTTTTCTTTTTCCAAATTGACTCACTCAATTCCTGTTTATTGAACGCAATTATCTAATCGGGCACAACTAAGAAAAGTTATTAATTTAGTTGATATTTGTATCATTGTTATTAATTCTTCATTTTTTTATTCTTTAAAAATTCTTATTAATTTTAACAAACAAATATTTTAGTCTAAAAATAAAAAATGGCAAACACATCATATTTTGGATCTTACAAAAATAATAGACAAGATTTATATTTGGAGTCTTATAAATAATCATAGAAAATACATTTTTGATATAAATTTATTTATGTAAGAAACTAAACATTGTATATTTAAATTTACTTTACAATGGTATATTTATTATTATTTTGTGTTCTTATTTACTAGACATAATTACTTAATTTATGGAGAATAATGTAATTGTTTGATACAGTTGATAGTAATAAAATTGTTTTGAATGACCATCGTTATTAATAATTTTCTCTCTTCTAAAAGTTTTCACATACCACTTAATTAAGGCTTGTGTTACAGTGAGAAAAGGAAAGAGACAATTGGATAAACTAATCTCAAACACCTTCCATTTGAACTCCCATTAATCAACACAAACACTGCTTTATCAAACTCACCATTTACTGCACAATTCTAACCTCACCATCTAATATATTCTGTTCTGCCTTTTTTTTTTTTTTTTTAGATCTAATTTAAATAGATAAGGCCTTTTAAAGTAAAGTGAAATAAATAATCTTAGTTATTCATGAGAGCAATATAATTGCTATTTTCAACTATTTATTTTCTTATCAATTAATAAGATTACTTATTTTGTTTTCTGAACTGAGTTTCTCATTTAAGAGTAGTGGAGTTCTGATTATTATGATAACCACTATCAAATCAAATCTGTACCCTTTTTAATTAATGAAAGAAATGTTTCGCTAAATTAAATTATTTTATTTTTGAATGAGTTTATAATATATGTAAAAATAATACATTGTCAAATTAATTATTAGAATAATAATTTAAAATAATTCTTAGAAAAATCAATAACTTTATCATATATATATATATATATATAAAAGATTAAGTGATAGTGTAAAAATGCTAACTATAAATTTTCATAGTCTTTCCAGTAAAGACTTACTTGATTAGAATTCAAAATCTTTACACATAAAAGGAACATTTTTATTTAATTGTAAGAATATTATTAATAACTGATTCTTTAAGACATTACATTTTGGTAAATGTTGTTTTTAATATATATTTATTATTAATCAATTTTTATTAAAAATAAAAAGTTAATTAAAAGCAAATTTATTAAATAAAAAAATCTTAAAAGTTAACTTTTTTTAATAGTTTTGTTTTTATAACAATAGAAAGTGCATTAAAAAGAATACTATATATATATATATATATATATATATATATATATTGTGTTTTTTAAAATTTTCTGTAATTTTAATGATGTTTTTGTTAAAAACCAAACCCTAAGTATTGTAAGATACCGACACGTACGAGCGATTAGCACCACTCTCAAATTCAACACATGTACACTAACACCTCTTTCACTCTGATACCAAACCCTCACTATATAAGCATCTCTTCAACTTTGATACAGCCACAGTCACAGGCGCAGCTTTTCATTGAAACTCTGCACTGTCTTTCTAGTCAAGAATTTCATTTTTCATTCTGCGTCTCTCACTCCTCTTCCAAAACCAAAATGACTAATAAAGAGGTTGTCCAAAACAACGACAACGCTGTAACCGAATGCACGAAGGTTGTCTGTGCTGCTCGGCCAACAATCCAATCCCCAGAAAGAAACGCTGACAAATCCCATAAGGGAAACCCGCAGAACCTTACGACTCCACCGCAACTGCAACAAATAACACCTAATATAACTATTGACAAGGTGGTTTCACCACCTAAACTTAACAAGACCACTGCAATAGTGGTTCCCTCGGCACCACCACAATTCCTGCGTTACCGTCCCAATGATCTGAGGCAGCAGCCACTGAGAACCGTGGATTTCCTGTCTCAGATGGAGGCACGCTGTTCGATACCGATTAAAGTTTGGAGGGAAAACCCTCCGACTAAGGCAGCGCTTGCGGAATGGGCTTCCTCGCTTCGACTTGGAGATGGAAAAAGGAAGCCTGTGGATCTGAAGCTGAAGCATAGGGTGTTTTAGGGCTTTGAGTGTAACAGTTGAATTAATGGAGTTTAGACCTCCATTGTTGTCTTTCTCTAGTCAACGCCTTGAGTTGTGCTTGACTGGTTTGTCTGCTTAGGACCTTCCGTGTCTTGTAGTTTGTTCACTCCGGATTTTCCGACTTGTTTAGCCCCTTTTATTCATTAACCTTTCTCTCATTTCAATATTTTGATTTTCTTACTTTTTAATTTTAGTTTTTGTGTTAGAATAATAATTTCTCCGAACTTAAATATAATAAAAAAAATGCCTAATACTTTTAATTTTAGTAATCATGTTTTAAAAATATTTTGTAAGTATTCTTCATTAGAACTTTATATATGGGAGTAACTGGAAGTGAAATCTTAATTAATGGAAGATTATAGTTTGGGAAGATAATATTAACAGGATGGATGTATTTAAATTATATGTTACTTATACTTGAGTATGGAAAGTGTAGGTTCTTTCAGAGTTTTTAAATTTTTTTTTTAACAATACCCCTCTATCTTAAAAAGTAATAATCTGTATTCATTGTGGACCAAGAAGTATAATGATTTATTTTCTAATTAACTAACGTATGATATCGATTAAAAATAATTATTGAAAAAAAATGTATTTAATGTATTATTGATTTTTTAAAACGACAACCAATTTGAAAAAAAAAACTCTAAAAATACCTCATATAAAAGGAAACAAAGAGATAAAAAATTAATTTAAGAAAATAGTGTATTTTATCTAAATTTATATTACTTGTTTCTTAATAAACGTGTCTTAACCTTAAAAGGTTTCGGTATGGAGGGGAAAATGCTCTTCCACTTTCCAAATTTTTGCTATTATGCTGCATACTTTCTTGGGCCAAGACATGTGATGGGTTTGTTTCAATCCATAACAACCAAAACTTGTGAATTCACTAAACTTAACTCAATTCTATACTTTTGAGAAAATAGTTCCATAAAGCTCAAGCAATGCATGCTTTTGAGAATTCCAAACACATACACATCACCTCTTCTCTCCTGAAAACCTGTTAACTGATCTTGCATTTTCCCCAAATCTATCTCAGAACCCTAATTTCAGTCTTACGTAACAAAACCCTTAAATTAAGGGTATTAATGACAAACATTGTCACATTAAAGTAGCAGTAAAACCTTCCTAGAAATAGTACAGGCAAACACCAAAAATTAAAGCGTAAGTTTTTAATAAAAAATGACACGGTATCTTGAAAACATTAACAAATTTATAGACCATACTATTGATGTAGATTTTAAATTTGATTATCGTGAACAAAAAAATTTATTTAATATTTGAAAATATTATCTTATTCATCCATCTCATCTATTCAATGAACGAAAATCCAATCCCTGGCTGAACTGTATAGAATAACTTATCTATTTAAAATATTTTCTTAGAAAAAAATTAACGAATTCTCTCATAAATTAATGACAAAAGTTTCTAAAGTATATATGCATCAGCTTCATGCTTTGATAATGAACACTTTTAAGAAATACATGTTTTTTTTAAAGAAGAAATGTTAGATGGTTAAATATTAATGAATAAATTATTCTGAAAATTATACTAAAAAGAGTTTGATAAAATTAATATTCTACTTTCTTAACCATGCTCTTATATTAAGGCAATAGTTAGCAATCCCAAATAAATATTTTGAGTTGATCTATTATTCATTGATCAACCAACTAATTGTAAGACATGGGAGGTAGAGGTTTCATAATATTAGGGCAAGTTTATATATATATATATATTTTTTATCAGAGATGAAACTGTGACAATGTATTTTTATTAACCTGAACTAAATTCATTAAGACTCAACAACATATAAAATAGTGTTGGGTTCAACTTATTAATATTAATTTAAATATTATATGTATTAATTAAGTCTTAAAAATAAACGAGCGAATATATTATTACAATTATGATTTATTTTATATTACATATTTTAAATCAAACTTATCAATATAAATATAATTAAAATTAAACAAAATATTTCTATTTATTAACATCAGAAGTTATATTATTAACTTATAGTTATTTAAAAACATTAAAAGAATATATGTCATTAGACCACATTGAAATTTAAAGACTACAATGAGGAATGCAACTTCTGCAATTGCCACTCCCATCCTTCCATGGATCGTTAAATTTTTTCTCATAATCTGATTCAACAAAAGAAGACTATCACAAATAGGGTCTTAACCACCCATGGTTAAGTTTTTAGTAATATTGAAAAGATAGTCCTGCACCATTTATTTTAACTTGTTTCTATGATATATGTACAATTTTGTTTCTAAGATTTTCAAAGTGAGAAGTAAGAAGCGTGAAAGCACGTACCTAAGCTTCGGTCATTTGCTATATATACAAATTTTTGTTTCTTTACTCTCTGTGCGATAATGAGCATTGTAGATTCATTTACAGTGTGATCTAATTAATAAACCTTTTAATGGTATTTCAAACTTATGAGCAGAAAGTTATTTTCATGTTACATTTCAAGTTATTAATTTTTGAAATATCCGATATTTTATTTCCTTAATTACTGACTTACACATCTTTCATGCGACTGTTGAGAACTTCTAGAACCACAGTGTCTACTCTGAAAGATATACCTTCATACTCCTCCAGAAGCTCCCTCTGAAGTCACAGGAGATTGGGCAGTCAATATTTTCAAGGGACCACCGAATGGAGAACCTGACCTCAAACCCTCTTGATTGAAAAAAGAGGGACCTTTTAGCTACACATTATACAACACAAGAAGATACATTTTTTCACCTATCTTTGCACCTCCTGCATATTCACTCTTGCCAGTAATGTTCTTCTGTACAGGGTCCTCTCCACTAATCTCCCACTTCCCATATGTTGACACCAAAATCTTGTTCCGCAATGCATCTTCTTCAACTAAAACTCTCCATTTCCATTTCCCCAAGAGTGCTAAGTTCAACAGTTCTGATTAACTAACAGGCCTATCTACTAGCGATGTGTCATGATGTGAATTTGTTAATATTGTGTAGTATAGTGAAAAAACAACTGGGATTGGGTATATGATCTTGTATTACCCTTGTGCAAGGTGTGTACTTGGATTTATATCTAACATGTATAAAAAGTACAGTATCAAATAATAAAATAAGAGAAACAAATTCCTTCTATTTGGGAAAGTTCAAGTTATTGAACAATAATTTAATGTGTAATATAAGCTATATATGTTCCAAACAAACTTTTAAATTTACTACTATTAGGAAAAATTAACTTGATTATTTATATCATCTTTAATTTCGATGCAATACAGAAATCCACTGACTGCAGTAAGAGTTCAGAGAAAAATGTTAGATTTGAAAACCTTAAAGCCTGCAGTACATGGATATAGGTAATAAAAAGTCAGTAGCTTTGTAATCTGTTGATTATTTTATCGAAAACATGTTAGGTTAATGAACTGTTTTGAGCTTAACTCCTTTATTAGTATTAAGAACAGTTTAGAAACTGAAAACTTTTTTCTAAACTGCAGTTCAGTTTGGAGAGAAAAAAAAATCATAGTTTTTTCTTTTATGTATATAAAAATTATTAGCTAGATAAAGACTTGACATAGAAGAGTTCTTTCAACAATGCATATAACTGCAAACATGTTCTCCATACGAATCTTCTAACGTACCCATCAATGTCATCACGTACTCCTTCAGGGATCCAATAACTTTGATACAGTAAGAAGAAACGAGCTCTAGGACAAATTTAACTAGAGTAATTATGTCAGCTCTATTGACGAGATTGTTCTTCCCTGAACACAATTTATCCTGATCTTATTAAGAATAAGTCACTTTTCTTGGCTCTTCCAGTTAAAATAGGAAACTCAAGGTATTTATCAATCTTATAAATATGATTGAAATCCAAAATGCAGCAGAGAACTTATTAGTCTTGGACCTAGGCGCATTTCTTGAAGTAAAAAATTTATAGTTGTGAGCATTTGCCCAGAACTTGCTTCAATAATATAACTTAAGAGGATTTGGCTTTGAAGTAAAGAAGACAATCACATGCAAAGAACAAATGTTGACCTCTGAAAGAGAAACAGAAACTGGATCTCACTGATTGCCACTAACATAATGAAAGAGCAAGTTTTACTTTTCATGCAGAACGCAAATAAATAGGGATTTCAATCCTTATAAGGGTGTAAAACTTTCCAAAAATCTCGTTGTTCCACTTTAATGATAAAGAGATTTGGCTAGTGTGTCTCGTGATTAAATTGATAATGTTAAGCATTTTACCAAATTTAGAAATAATCCAATTAAATTCTCTTTAATCGTTTTTCTGTGCAGTTTTGTCATAAAAATTCAATTTTTCAGGCTGCCCTAGATAGATATATCAATTTCCCTGTCAACTAAACAACATTTGATTGTTTTTTACAAAACACATTAAGATAATGTAACCAAAGTCTAGTCAAAATGTATCAAACTCTATTAAAAAGAAGTACATGATGGTGGTATGTGAAATTTTTAGGAACAACTTTGTTAATAAAATGTATTTTACTAGTAGTACGTGGATGTTCAATGGTGGAGAATAATCTGACGCCAATAATTGGAACAAATGACTATTTTCCTTTTTATTAATTATAAAAAAAAGGTTTCTGTGAGAATCAAATGTAAAACCGTGGGGCTGAATTGTTTCAATGTTGATTAGGTTTTTTCTTTTAAGGTTAAGGTCAATTGAATAATGATAAAATCAACAATATATATATTTTAAATTGAGATTATTTACTTTAGTTTTTTATACGAATTGTTCATTTTAGAGAGCGAAATTCCGATAAAATAATATTAGCATTATTGAATAGACATTTTTTTATTATGTCAATAATTTCTATTATATTAATAAATTCAAAAAATTATCGTGTCAACTTTTTATGTAGCTAATATAATAATTTTAAAATAGTTAAAAAAAAATCTATCATGTATAGTGATGTGTGAACGAATGGTAGTGTAAAAAGGTACATAATAATTTTCAGAATCAGTCATAAAATGCATATTTATGAAACAAGTATAAATTCCGGCGTTTAGCACGTACTAAAACCATATGTGCCATGAAAGCTTTTGGTTGTGTCGTTTCAGGTTGACTTATTTGGCTAGAATTCAATCAAGACACGGATTCATAAGCATCACTGTCAAATTCAACACGTGTTGAAACCATCTTTCACTCAGAGACCAAACCCTCACTATATAAGCATCGTTTTACACTCTGGTTTGCCGCAGCAGCAAAGAATCCTCTTCCTCCTCCACATTCTACTCAGTGGCATCATTTTCACCCTGAGCCTCTTAAACTACTCAATTCCCCAAATCCTAAATGACAAAGGACAAAGTTATTGAAATCTCGGACAGTGAGACTGAAAGCAGCACTGGCAGCACCGCCAGCACCACCAGCAACGCCATCAGACCCTCAAAACATTTCAATCAAACAATAACTAACCCAACCTATAAGCGTCGTTCCTCCCCACCATCACCGCCGCCAACACGACAAAAAAAACCTACAAAGACCCTTGCAAGGGTGCTTCCTCCACCATCTCCACCAAAGCCTTTCAGAGCCGTTGCAACTGTGATTCCCTCGCCACCACCTTCAAACGCTAACATAATGCTGCCGATCCCACCACGATCAACAGCGTTGCAGATCCACAGGAACTCTGGTGGAAGTGGGTCCCACCAACATCACCGTCACCATCCTTATCTGAGGCAGATCGATCACCCCGCACAGAGAACCGTGGATTTTCTGTCACCACTGGAGGCAAACCTTTCCGCACCGGTTCAAGTTCCGAGGGAAAACCCTCCGAGCAATGAAAGGCTCGTGGAATGGGCATCCTCGCTTACCCTTGGAAATGGAAGAAGGGTGCCTGTGGAGTTGAAACTGAAACTTAACTGAAGCATTGGTTGGATAGGGTTTTGACTATAACTGTTGTATGGGGTTTGGACCTTCATTGTTTTTTTTTTTTTTTTTTTTCTCTTTCATCGCTTTCTTTTGATACAGTCGATGAATTTGGTCGTCTTCAGTTCTTGTTCACTGCTCTGTCTGTATCGGATCTAGCGTGTCTTGTTGTTTGTTCTTTCCGGAATTTTAGATGTTGTTCTCGCCCCTTTTATTAATTAAACGTTGTTCTTTTTGTCATCTTCAGTTATTGTTTCTTTCTGAGTCAATGAGTGGAGTTTGTTTTAAAGGTTCCATAGAACCCTAAAATTTTCATGAAACTAAAGAAATTAAAATAATTCAATTGATCGATGTTTCTATGAAACAAACCATATATGCTTGCTGTGTGTTCTTGCGGCGCTGGGCATAACACTTAATCTTTAAGTGAAATGTTAGGTTATATTATATAATTTGAAGCTTCGTAATAAAATTTAAAACTTCAGAACTAAAGCTTTGTGAAAAATGCTCTATTATGCATCTAGACAATATAAATTTTAGGATAATTGGTTCTTGTAATAAAAAAATTATAAGGAATAATGTCCTATAATTCAATCCTGTGACTTGTCTCTATTTCTCTACGTAATATAATTTTCGAAAATTATATTGTCATTACTTCTAAATTGAAACTAATAATCTTCAAATACTGAACTATACAGAAAAATTGAATTCTTTTATATTGAAAATAGAAAAACCTCATTATAAAAACTAATAAAATTAACGAAAGATAAAAAAAATGTAATTTAACATGTTTTATTATATAGCATTCATAATTATATTATTAAATCTATTATGAAAATAATTTCAATAATATTTTTAAATGTTATATTGATCCTATATTGTATATTTATTGTCCCCTTTATTTTTAAAATCTAAATTTAATTCTCAAAAAAATATAATTCTAAATTTTATTGTCTAAATTTAATAATCTCACATTAAATATAATGTGTAATTGATTAAATGATATTTATTACATATATAAATTTTGTTAAATTTAAAATTGAATTAAGTCTATATCATATGTGTTCTATTTAAAACAAATGCAGTCACAAGTCAGTAAGTTCACACACACACGCACTAAAATATTTATTTATTTATTTTTATTAGGATAATATTAAAATAATAATTATTTATATAAATCTATCATAAACAAGTTAAAATAGTTTATGAAAAAACCATTAATATTATTATTATAAAAGTAGAAATCACAAAATTTTGGGGACGAATATCTTGGATCGATGATAATAATAAAATTATTATTTTGTGACAAAATATAGCGTCACCTATGATGAGTGTATGATTGAATACTCATCACAATTTATGATAACTATTCTCTCGTTAAGTTTTTACCACAACTTTCTTCATCACAAATTGTGAGGTTGTCACAACGTACTCAGTAGTAGAATTAAACAACACTTCGTTATATAATATAAAGTAAAATAATGTATATCTCTATTTAATAAAGATACTTGAGCTTTAGTCCATCATCACTAATATATATCACTATTTATTACTGTTACCCTTCAAATTTAAGAGACTCTAGTCAATCATCATTGTTAATTGTAGTTCCTACACGATTTTCATAGTTATTTTAACTACATATTTATTTTGTCATAGATTTTATAATAATTGGCAGCAAATGCAAATTCATTACAAAAACATAGCATAAATTTTTAATTAAATTGAGAGTTGTTCTCATATAATATATAGCGTAAAGAAAACTAAGGGTTGTTTAAGCGAGATATTAAATTATTAAATTTATGATGTTATTTGTGATAGAAGAGACAGTAACAAATATTTTCAGTCACAAACATACACACTTTGATCGAAGTTTTTCACATTATTTGTGATTGAATGATTAGAAACTGTACATTTCTGTCACAAAAGGGGATCATACTTTGTAATGTTCTATTATCACATTCTATTATTATAACGTCCACAGCAAAAATATGTATATTTATTTAATGTTATCCGAGTTTTTTTAGAAAATTAAATATTTTATTATTAGTTTAAATTAATAAAGTTGGTAAGAGTAACTTATGTAAATAATTATTTTTTATTTTTAAACAATTTTTTCCAACTTAAAACTATTGTGTTATGAAATTTATAATAAAATATTTATTTTTATTTTTAAACAATTTTTCATGAATAACTCTTCTTTGTAAGATATTATTTAAGTAAACATGTCTCGAAACTGATCTTTCAATTAAAAAGAAAAAATAAAATCTGTTTTTTCTATTATATAATATTAATTGTATTTATATAATATTCATTAAATATTTTATTCATTAAACATAAATCATTTATTAAATTAGTAAATGTAATGAATGCTATTGAATGTTATATTGATTAAAATATTAAATATTCATAATACGTAGTAAATGTAATATAATGTTAATTATTACATATTTATAACAACTATTTAAATAATAATTAAAGACAGTTTTTGATTCAACTTTTACATGAAAATAATTAAGTAAAAAATACAATTTTTCATCTTTTCATTATTTTCTTTATCTAACTTATTTTTCGCGCTCATTATCCTGTTTTTATCTATTATTTATTTTTTACTATATAATTAAAAAAAAAAACACTATCGTCATATTTTTTTTATTATATAAGTGAGTATTTTTTTTATGGTATTTTTCACTCAACCTTTTGTAGACTTAATTAAAATCCTTATTTATGATAATTTTAGAGAGGTGTTGATGAATTTAAACAAAGAAGAGGAAAATAATACTGTGACTAAGGAAGAGAAAAGGGTCAAACCTTTCTAATTTTTCTCCCCAACTCTAATATAATTTGATATTATTCTGTAAACGTTCGTTCTTTCGTATCCGTTCAAATGGTATATTATAGTTATAAAATTTTAATACGTTATAATTTTATTCTTAAAAAATAGCTCCTTAAAAAATAATTCAATAAGTTAAAAGAAAAAAAAAACTATGATTTATATCAACTCCTAAACCATAATACAGATAATATCTTCTATGTCATTCAATTGCTTAACATATGCTTGTTAAGTAAATAAATCTACTGTGTAAATAAGTTTGGTTATGCATATTTAAATGAAAAACATGGAAATCAAATGAAAAAATATTTTCTCATTTTTCAAAAATAAAAGAGATGAAAATTTACTATAATCTATTATATTAATTTTTTTAAAATATTTCATAATTAAAATAATTTCTATAATCAATTATGAAATTAAATTTTCTTTTTCTTTATTTTATAATATTTATAATAGTAACAAGATATTAAAAAAATATTATTAGTAATAAACAAAAAATCATTAATGATAAATAATTTTTATTTCATTGTCCATTAATTTTGATTAACTTTTGTTTAATTTAAAGAATTTTATTTTTACTTTTTTTACCCTCATTTCCATTATCTTCTTACCCAAACAAAACATATTTGAGAAGAAGAAGATGGCATAGTAAAAGTGAAATAGTAATCATTCAAATCTTTTAGTTCAACAAAGTATAATTGATAATAAGAACTTCTGGTAAATATAATCATGTAACACTATCATATATGGTTAGGAGATATTCATGAAATTTTAATGATAGCTAACTTTATTTTACAAGTTTATAAAAATAATGTTACAAGGTTATTGACTAATATACACATGATAAATTGTAAATATAAATGTAGTTAATTATAAAACATATGGTTACTAAAATTGATTGTTACGGGTCGTTAAATACTTGTATATAGTTAATTTTTTTAAAAAAGATTAAAAATAAATTAACATATAATTGTATCATTATTAATATGTGACCAAGTTATTGAAATTTCCAAGTATAGTGATCTAAAATAATTATCATTGTTATGAAATCATTGAAATGCTGAATAAAGTTAATTATATGTATGATTGCTAAAGTCCAAATTAATAAAATTTGGTGCATGAATACCTTGCGGACATTTTGGATGTGCGAATATCAGCACTCTTCTGTCAGCACCATTTTCACAACTCATTCATCTTCAGGTTGAAGTCATGGATAAATTACTATTCGGAGCTTCCTAATGATTTCTTGGTACGATGATATGATATAATAAGAAGACTGAATTTTTTTAAGTTTTTTCTTATAATTTTGGTCTCCTTTCTTTTTTTATTCATGCTTTTAGTTATCATGTTTAAAAACACATGCAATTTTAGAAAGTAATTTATTTTTATAGAGTTTTAAGATAAAAGATGTTGTTTAGATATATTTTCTTTTTAATAATTTGTAAGAAATTTTCTGTGGTCACACGAGAAGTACATTGAAGAATTGACTTAGATTTTTTTACCTTGATTCGGAGTATGAGGAGGTTCGATCTGAGATCTTATCCATGGTTAGAGGAATAAATGAAGTTATTGATCATGTCATTAGATTTTAAATAATACTGATCTTGTTGACATGCAATTTACATATTGTTTTATCAATCAAAGTGGAAATATATATATGGTGACTACATAACCATTGAAAGAAAAATCCTGATGTTGTAATTACCAAAGTAATATTATAGAGGATGTATGTTAAATAGATAGATACTTTTTGTTGGAGATTCATTGCTTTAATAGGATTTTTATTCTTAATAAATAGATATAAATTTATTGCATGTTTCATTTATATTATCAAGAAAACATTTTGTATAACTTGTCTTTTGTCTAGTTAATTTTCTAGCTAAAAAACACTTTGTACAACAAATTATAATAATAATAATAATAATAATAATAATAATAATAATAATAATAATAATTATTATTATTATATATTTTGAGCGAATTTCAGCTGGAATCGCCTTCCCCTCCGGCCTCTCTCGTGGACAAAATAAACCGTCTTGAGCAATTGGAAAACCCCAACCAGCCGTATTTTGTCCAGCATTATTATAAATAATATTCTGCTCAATAATAATAATAATAATAATAATAATAATAATAATAATAATATAAAAGATACCAAATTTTACAATTGAACAATTTTTGGTGTACACAATTTCCGTACGAAATTATTATTATGAATAATTTATTATTATTATTATTATTGATCGTTTGTTCTCCTATTAACATGAAATTTAAGAGTCCATTAGATCATAAGGAAAAAATGTGTAAAGAAAAGAGACAAAAATATATTTAAAAGAGTGAAATGAACTAAAAGGAAAAAACTTATTTTAAAAATAAAATAAAATTAAATATTAGTATAATTATAAAATTAGTCATATAATTATTAATTAATTTTGTATGAATGAAATAAAATTTTAAATTTATACATTTAAATTAAGATCTTATTTTTCTTTTTACAATAGTATATATTTATTTGTAAAATATATTTTTAAAAACATTTAAATTTAAATGAGTAAAATAATATGAGAATAAATAATTTTTTATTAAAAATGAAAATTTTATAAAATAACATTTTTTATTTTTTTTTCCGTATTTATGATTAAAAAATAAAACATAATAAAAATAGAAATATTAACCACGTAAAAACCGAAAACAAATTAGCTCAACTCCTGGAACAACAGAGGTAAGAATGCAAGGGAGGCAGGATGCGAAGCAAGTCAAACCACTAAAATTTGGATATACAAATTGATCCCTTGCTATGGACAACAAAAGATACCGATGGAGGGGGAAGAGAATAACACACATTCCTGCGAACAACAATCTTTACACACCTCTCTCTCTCTCTCTCTCTCTAACCACTCTATTAAAAGCAAATTGTAATAATGGCCTCAAAAGCCACTATTACAAGATCACATCAAACTTCAAAAACCATCCACCAACAAACTCTCTGTAGTAGACCCTGAAACGTCAGTTTCACCCCCTTGTGACTTTTTAAGCTTTGCCACAAGGACCCACATGTTAGCCAGTTCATTTTCCAGGTATGCTTCTCTTTGCTTTGACTCTTCAACCTTTCTTTGAAGTTCGGCCTCTTTCTGATCTCTCTCTAAAAGGGCAGCTTCATATGAAAGTTCCCTTTCTTTGCTCAGGGCTAATTCTCTCTTGATGTTGGTGTTTGATCCACCCTGATCATTTCGTCTAACTCTAACATGACTTTCTCTTCGTCCATTTTGGACTGTGCCACTAGTTCTACGTTCAGTTGTTGAATTCTTGGATGCACCTAGCTCAGCAGCTAGTCTCTCGTTCTGGTTCATAAGTTTGGCAACTTCTTCTGACAGTGCCTTAAGCTCAACAGCAGCAGCTGAAGCAAGCCCTTTAGCATATGAACTCTCTTCTGCCAATTTCTGATTTCTAAATTCTAACTGCTCCTTTGATTCTGCTAGTTCTGCCACTCTCTGCTTCAGCTCCTCTATCTCACTTATCTAATTAAGTTCACAAGATCAATGGAAATGATGACTTGACTGTACACAAAATACTTCAAGCTATTTGAAGTGCATGTTTGGTTTGGCGTTTGGATCAAGTCAAATGTGGATATTCCAAGCTAAAGCTACTTTCACTAGCTTCTATTTTTCATACCCGAAGCATACATCTAAGACTCCAATGTCAAACCAAACACACGAGAAAATAACGTCGCTAAACGCAGAATAGATGGCAGATAGAAACAATCAATCACTTAATAAACATTTCTTCTCTCGGGAATAATGTAGATATAAGTTTTCACTTTTCGGTGAGTAAAACTTGAAACTTGATGACTATTGAAAAGGTTTCCTTCACAAACTAAAAGCTCTTACTGTATCAAACAAAGCCAAATAATGATACAAATTCTATTTGGATACAGAGCTAGAACAGTTTTCAAGAGTTTTGTAACAGGAAAAAAAATTAAATATTTTCAATAGAAAAACTGTCAAATACTCTTTTAGAAAGTATCCAAAAAGACCCTTAAACCAATTTTGGATTTCACTTTTAAATTTTTGTCAGAGAAATAAATAACAAATCAGGTGCTTTACTGAATCAAAATTGGATGCATTTGAATCATGAGTAGATTCCAACCTTTCCAAAGTTAAAAGCATGGGAGTGTAGACAGGCTGAGGTTTTGATGTACATGTCCTGACCATGGGATCATGCACGTCGTCTAAGATTAGAACATAACGTCAAGTTGTGATTTCAAGTAATATCTAATCTTGACTATACTTGGTAGATCCAACAGTTTAGAGTAGCTCCTTTCGTCAGTTGCCACTCATAAGTCACAACAAGATAGAGCTCTTACTTGAAATATATATTTGCCCAGTGATAATGAAGTTAAAAAGAAATAGTTTGCAGTGATTACTGTATCACCCATACGAACATTATATGCATCTTTTTATGGGAAATTGCTCGAAAAGTAATCACAGACACAGGAATGCAAGCCTAAGAACTGTAAGAGCACCCAACAACAAAAATTGCACAAGGGAAAAAATATACCTGTGCTTGCAAATGAATCCTTTCATTGGAATAGTTATTCATCAAATTCCCCTTGTCAAGGTGAATTTCACCAGGATAATCTTTGGTTACAGACAAATTTTGTGAATGGTTGACAACAGGGCTGAAACTTCTCAACTCCGATGCATCTGCAAGTTGCTGTTTCAGGGAGGCAATTGTTTCTTGCTGGCTTTCACATTCACAAATCTGATTATCCCACTACTCTCTTAGCTTAACACGACAAAAAGATATAAAAATTTCACAAAGAAAAGTTTAGGCTAGATATTTTACCTTCTGATTAAGCTGTTCTTGAATTATACGATTATCTGCTGCTTTGACCTGAATTAGCACAATAATGTGCATTAGTTAATACTGGGCTCATCTAAAAGCAACTGAGTAAGGCCACGTTCAAGCACTGATAGAAATTTTAGAAGTTGAAACGTATAGGCTACATAATCATATAAGAACCCTACTGCTGTTTTGCATGACCAGAAGCATGGCTTGAAAAAATTGATTATATCAAATTGTTCTGACATAACTACAACAGAATTTTATTTAAGAACAAATAAAATGGATTTGACCACCCATATGTTCCTCAAGAAAAAGACTACTGGGTGCTACATTTCAATTCAATTCCATCCGGACTGTCTGTCCAAGGCAATGATATGTTGGCAAAAATTAGCAAGGTGAAAATAACTGTCACCTCGAGTTCGAAGGATTTCTCATTCAATTGTGCCATCAGCTCAGCAACAGTCTGTTGTACAAACCAAGTGTTAGTCTAGACTAAAAACTAGTGAAACAAAGCAATAATGATGCCAAGTGAAAATACCTGCAACGCTCCTGACTGTTCTGTCTTATCTGAAGCAACGAATGAATTAGAAATTTGCTTTTCCAGCAAATCTATTTGTTCACTCTTAGCTGTAATTTCATCTTTCAAATTTTTCATCTCCACCTTGGTATGAATCACAAAATTTTCAGCCATAATAATCAATTTAATAACTCTAAATCAAGTAAACAGTTATATCTATATAGACAAAGAGGAGTTGGTAACCTACATGAATCTGACCATTCTGAGGATTTTTTGTTGCTTCATCTGACAGCCTCTTCAAAGCGCTTGAATGAAGTGCTACTTCTCCTGATAATATCTTGTGCTGCTCCCTCAGAAGATCAATCTGATCAACTGACTTGATGCTTGTCTAGAAATTAAACCCAAATGTGACATAATGAGGTAAAAAAATGATTTCCATATAATATACACTCATCACACATCTTTTTCCCGAGAATAGAACAGTCATATATCCACCATTTTTCTTCATTTTAATATCATATATTTTCCCACAAATAACAGCGGTTTGATAGATATTTCTCAAACTGAAGGTAACCCATGGCTACTATTTTAGGTCTAATTGAAACTTCAACAAACAAACAAGTAAAATGAGACCAAAAGATGAAGTAGTGTAATATTCGAAAACAAATGGAGGCACAACTAACCACAAAACCAAATAACAATGTTGGACACCGAGAGAAACTTTTCTGGTATAGACAAGGACATTTATTGACCGAGCTGCACTTGAGGGTAACAAGGGAGACCAAAAAATATAAGCAGTACTATAAAAATTAGGTTTTTCGGATCATTTAAGTGTGTTTTGACATGGCAATCGCTTTACAGTTTGTTTGTAAAAGCTACAGTAAGAAACATAAATAACAGTCAGTTACATACCAAAGAAGTCTCTTGCCCCAAAAAACTGTCTTCGTGAATATATTTGTCCTCTCTTGCCTCTGATGCTATATCAGCAGAGGGGGAGCTTTCTGCAGGTTGAGAATGAGAAAGTCTGGACTCCACATGATTACTACTTTCTGCTTGAGGTGTAGAAGGTGTGCTACTAGATTTCGCTCCACTAGATTTATCACTTGTGCCTGTCAAGGCACTATCTCGTTTCTGATAAAATAGTACCCAAAATGAAAAGATCCATTATTTATACAGCTAAGGTTATATAAAATGCTAAACAAGGTAATCAAGCACAAACCAGCATGCAAGAAAATGAATGTAACATAAGCTAAATGTGATAATAAACTTGTTAAAACTAACTCAATGTGACAAATGCACGGGCCAGGGAAAGTTTGAATTGATGTAGTAAAATGCAGTCAATTAGTTTGGAATGATAATTGAAACACTTGATTCTCAAATGTCAAGTATTACTTATAAACCTCAAAGAATTCCAAGTAAAGAAACAAAATGCATTCCAATTGTTAAAGATGCAATTGTAATATAAAACAATTTATATATCTACTTCTAACAGCTTAAGCTTAAGGGATAGTTAGTTCATGACACCATTTTCCAAAGTTTCATTAAGAACAAAGGAGCAATACCAAGGCCTACACCAAAGGCCATTAATAAAACAGCTTGCTATAATATTTCAAATACAAGAGCTACAGATTATTTTACGTTCTTGATTGGTAAAATACGTAGAGTGGTAAAGAATGGGTAGCTGACAACCAATAAGAGGACCCGTCACATAATTCTGATAGGTAAAAAGAAAATGGAAGAAAAAGAATCCAAATCAAGCCACATAATCAATAGATGCAAGCTCTACAACTTGAAAAAGAAAAACATATGTCTATGATGTTATAAAAATTCCTATCATCAGACAACTACAATGGAGTGATGGATAACTTACACGTAACTTCAGCCAATTTAGTAGTCCATGTTTCTTCATCTTTTTCTCACCCTTAAAAGAATCATCAGCCATTGCAGCATTTCCCTCCAGATTAACATACAAATCAACATTTTCCTCGTCTAAGATTAGATCCCGCCTTTTGTACGGAAGGTATGCCAGCTGAAAACATAACCGAAAATAAAAAAATGAAGGGAATTAAAAGTAAATAAAATTCTAGTATTTAGAAGAAAAGGGGTGAAAGTTTATGCAACATCAGTAATACCTCCTCTTCCCCGAAGGAGTGTCTTCTACGAGGACCAGATCTGTTAGGAAATCTTGTAGATGGTGACGCTTTTGTGGAGACCAAAATTAACTTAGTCAACCGTTGAATTCTGCCTAACAAAGCAGCTTTTGCATCTTCCTCTTGTTCCAATCTGGATTGCAACTTAACTTGACCATCTTCTAACTTATATAATTGAATTTGAGAACCACTCAAGATCAGAATACTAATTACGGAATACCGAGGAACTCAATATGCAGCAAATTTACTTCTCAATTATTAAGTAAACTCATTTCATATCCATAAAATATAATTTATAACTTTTAGAATTTAATATGCGTAAGATATTTATGCAGGGTTCACTTGGGTACTCCCACCAAAAAAGGGAGTACATACTACATTTCTCTGAAATTATAGACTTTTATATTAAAGGTTACAGACTAAAATAATAAAAGTTACAGATTGAGTAATGAAAGTTACTGGATTTTATTGCTAAGTGTGTAACTTCTGTAACTTTTATCACTCAGGCTTGAAATTTTTAGGTTTAATTACTCATTTGATCTCAATAGTTTGAAAAACTTTACTTTCTAGTCCATATATTTAAAAATCATATTATCTAATCCTCTTATCATACTTTTTTCAATCTCTTTTAGTCCCAATGAGTTTAGATGGTAAGGACCAAAAGAAATTGAAAATGGTATATACAGGGACTAAAAGGGATTAGAAATTTCACATTTTGAATCCAATATCTCTCTCTCTCTTTCTTCATATATATATATATATATATATATATATATGTGTGTGTGTGTGTGTGTGTGTATAAAATTCTCAAATTCGACCACTGAATCATGTGATATTATCTTGATGATCATGCATGTCAAATTTTAGATAACTGAACGTTCATAGATGAATAGTTTACATCCAACATTTACTTATATTGTGAAAAGTATATTAGACATTTAAATGAAGTTGATTGGTGAAATAGAGAATGATTTTTAAATTGTATGAAACTTTGTATACTTGATCTCCTTAATGTAATCTTTCAAATCAAAAGTTAGATTAGTGAAATTCAAGGTTTACAAAATGTTATTAAGCAGTCAGTTAAACAAGAGTTACGCTTGGACTAAGTGACCCACTTCCCCATATATATAGGGAAGGTATTAATGAGAATATTTTTTATTATGAAAAATACGGGCTAAAAATGTAAGTAATTAGAACTCTTCATACTTGAATGGTTAAGAGTAAATAAAAAAAGCAAATGATTTTTAAGGTTGTCATGGCACATAAGTTAACATTTAATCTTCTTGACCATCCATGTTTCGTTGTATGGTCTAAATTTATACTTCTCATTTCTCACAATGAAAAAGAGTCTCACTTGAGAGAGATTGTTCTAACAATTAACTAAAATAGAAGACCACGATTTATATATAACATGACCTACCTTCTGTTTTAGGAGCTCAATGTCATGATCCTCAGTATCTTTTGGTTGAACTGTAACAATACCTCTCTTTAATTGTTCCAATTCTTCCTTTAAGCATTGAATCTCTTGTTGGTATTTCTTGATAAGTGACTTCTCATCAATTATCTGCAGGTTTAAACAAAATTAAAAAAAAAAGAGGCAAAAGAAAGAATAGGGATAGAGCACTGAAGTAAAGAGATTAGAAGCTTTTTCCTGTTCTTTGAACTGTGTGCTGGTTGTACTCTGTCATTGATAGGAATAAAATTCTGATTTAACCAAAAAATAGTAACTTGCCTTGTTTTGTGCTGCTCGTATTTCTATGTACTTTGCCCGGTGAGCAAACTTCAATGTGTTATGTGTCTCTTCAGTACTACTTGATGAAGGGGTTACTGTGCAAATAAGCTGTATTTAAAATAACAATAAGCTATTAGGATTGCTGATTTATGTTTAAGCATTTCTACCACAGAAATGTACAATATCTATTTTTCACAAATAAATGCATGTATGTGCGAACACAATGAAAGCCTTACAGAAACACGTCCATGACCACTTAGCGAAGACTGAAGTACTCTAGTCAGTTTGGAATCCCTATAAGGTATGTGACTGGCTTTATCTTCAGTCAATTTTGAAATAACCTGTAGAACAAAGATAATAACAATTCAACACAGGCATAAACACACGTCCTTGAATATAACAGCATCAAGTGAATTATCTATGCTTGGAAACCACTGCACTGCACATCAATGTACTATCATTCAATCAATAGCAGAGGAAAACTCAAGTGGTGCTGAACAACTTACGAAGAACTGAAAACATTCTAAGGTAAAGCAATATGACCATTGCACAACAAACATATCCTAAAAGAGAGCACATAAAAGAAAGAGAAGGACGAACGTTTAGGATATAAAAAGGAGTCCTTGGAGCAAGTAAAAGGATCGTGATATATGATGTTGAATATAGAGAAAATAGGGTTTGAGATTAATCTCCCTTATTTATAAACCACACATAGGATAATCTATTTATAATAGAGAGAGGTACAACTAAAAAATAATTAGAATAAATAGAAGATATTGTTTGATATTGTGATTACCAATATCTAACATTATCAAACAATATCTAAACAATATCTAACACTCCCCCTCAAACTGGAGCATACAAATCATATGTGTCAAGCTTGTTACAAATATAATCAATTCTAGGCTCCCGTAAAGACTTAGTAAAAATATCTGTTAACTGATCACTTGAGTTAACAAACTCAATCTTGATGTCTCCAGACATAATCTTTTCCCCAATGAAATGACAGTCAATCTCAATGTGTTTGGTTCTCTTATGAAAGAGAGGATTAAAGCTAATATGAAGAGCAGTTTGATTGTCACACACAAGTGTCATTTGAGTGACATCTCCAAATTGTAACTCTCTAAGCAATTGCTTGAGCCAAATAAGTTCACAGGTAGCTAAGGCTATAGCTCTATATTCTGCTTATACACTGGATCTTGCCACAACACTTTGTTTCTTACTTTTTCACGAGATCAAGTTATCACCAATGGAGACACAATACCAGATGTGGATCTTCTATCAGAAGAAGATCCTTCCCAATCAACATCTGAGTAGCAAACAACTCTTGTATGGTTATTAGAACCATATAACAATCCTTTTCCAAGAGATCCTTTAATATACTTTAAGATACAAATGACTACATTCCAATGATTTTCACATGGGGAATTAAAAAATTGGCTTATCACAATGACTGCAAAGGAAATGTCAAGACGAGTAACTGTAAGATAATTCAATTTCCCAACCAATCTTCTATATTGTTCAAGATCAGATATAGGCTCACTCTGATTTGGTAGAAGTTTAGTTTGGGATACATGGGTGTATCAACAAACTTTGAACTCATCAACTCAGTTTCCTTCAAAATATCCATGACATACTTCCTTTGAGATATAACAATACCATCATTAGACTGTGTCACCTCAATACCCAAGAAATATCTGAGTTTGCTAAGATCTTTAGTCTGAAAATGGTGACAGAGATGTTGTTTCAACGGAGAGATGTCATGGTTGTCACTACATATAAGAACGATGTCATCAACATATATTATCAAGTAAACACATCCAGCACTCGAGTGTCGATAAAATACAGAATGATCTGCTTTACACCAAATCATCCCAAATTGTTGAAAAACATTGCTAAACTTTCCAAATTAGGCCCTTGGAAACTATTTTAGGCCATATATGGATTTGCGAAAACGACATACCATCCCAGAAGACTCCCCCTGAGCAACAAACCCAGGAGGTTACTCCATATAAATTTCTTCTTGCAAATCATCATTGAGGAAAACAGTTTTAACATCCAGTTGATAAAGAGACCATTGTTGAAGAGCAGCCTTGACGATAAATAAACGAACAAAAGCCATCTTTGACACGGGGGAAAAATTATCTTCATAATCTAATCCAAAAATTTGAGTATAACCTTTGTCTATAAGACGAGTTTTAAAGCGATCAATTATACCATCAGGTCCAACTTTGATAGCAAACACCCACCTGCAACCAACAACAGATTTCCCAAATGGTAACGGGACCAATTCCCAAGTTCCACTATTATGAAGAACACTTAGTTCATCTGTCATGGCCTGACGCCAACCAGGATGGGCTAAAGCTTCACTGACAGTTTTTGGAATGGTTACAGAAGAAAAACATGTACAAAAAGGTAATGACAGTCGATGATAACTCAAAGTAATATAATAGGGAGAAGGATTACGTGTAGAACGAATACCATTTTAGAGGGCAATGAGAAGGTCAGACTCAGGTGTCAAAGCCGGAGGAGACAGAGTAGTTGGCACTTGAATGGAGTCACATGGTGGTGGTTGTAATCGGTTTCGGCGACTATAAACCTGAAGGGGCGGTGGAGAAGAAGCTGACTACAGAGTAGAAACTAATATTGAAGAAGACACAATTAGAGGGCCACAAACAACAAAAACATTAAATGTACTATGAGTGTTGACAGGATTGGATGGAGATAGAGGTGGAGATTGACTTTTAAAATAAAGGGAGAACTCATCAAATGTGACATCTGCAGACATAAAATAACGGTTAAGAGAATGAGAAAAACATTTGTATCCTTTTTGTGATCTTGTAAACCTTAAGAAAACACACTTATGTGATCTAGGAGAAAGCTTGTCAAAACTAGGACTGAAATTATGAACAAAACATGTAGACCCAAAAACTCTTAGAGGTAAGGGATGAAGAGGTTCATGAGGGAATAAATGGAATGAGGTATTTTATTATCTAAAACCGAAAAAGGCATGTGATTAATGAGATAACATGCAGTAAGAAGAGCATCACCCCAAAAATGTTGAGGAACCTCTCCATGAATTAAAAAAGTGCGAGTTGTTTCAATAAAATGTCTATTTTTACGTTCAGATACATCATTTTGTTGAGGTCTATAAACACAAGAAGTTTGATGTAGAATACCGTGAGAAACCATGAATTGTTTAAAAGAATGAGAAAGATATTCACGGTCATTATCACTGCACAAAACTCTAATAGAAACACCGAATTGAGTTTGAATTTCATTAAAAAAAGATTGAAAGATATGAAATAATTCAGAACGATTTTTCATCAAAAATAACCAAGTACATCTGGAAGAATCATCAATGAAAGTAACAAAGTGTTAAAAACCTAAAGTAGACTTAACGCGACTAGGTCCCCAAATGTCAGAGTGAACCATGGCAAAAGGGGACGAAGCGCCACGTGTGACACTACGAGGAAAGGAAGTACGACTATGCTTGCCTAATTAACATGACTTACATACCAAATTAGACAACTTGGACAAGACAGGGAGAAGTTGCTGTAACTTGGCAAAACTTAGATGACCTAACTGAGCATGAAGAAAAGAGGGAGACTCCATAACTGCACCAACATGTGTACACGAATGGAGATGATAAAGGCCATGAAACTCATATCCTGTGTCAATCACCTGTTTTAAACTCCGGTCCTGTAAACACACAAAATTGTTGGTAAAAAAAAACAACACAATCAAGAGAACGAGTTAAACGACTGATGGACAACAGGTTAAAAGGAGATCCAGGACATAAAGGGCATTATCAATGGTTAAAGAAGGGAAAAGTTTAACAGTTCCAACACCATGAGATGATACTCTAGAGCCATCAGCTAGTGTAACAGAAGGTAAAAGATTAAGAAAGGATAAATAGGAGAACAAAGATTTGTTACAAGTAATATGATCAGTGACTCTTGAATAAAAAACCCAAGGACTAGGAGAAGAAGATTGGGTCAGACCAGCAAAAGATGTACCTATGTGTGCGATAGACGCAGTGGAACTAGAAGAATGTTGATCCTTATATTATTTGAGAAATTTTTTGAACATAGCAGATGTGTCGGATGAAACAAAAGAAGCGGAAGAAGTCATGAAGAGAGGTAAAACAAACCCTAAAAAGAAATCCAAAGTAGTCCAATCAGCCCATGAAGCACAAATCCAAAAACGATAAGACCAAAACACGTCCGTCGAGACTAAACGGTGCTAAAGACAATGAAGTTAGGGTTGGGGAGTTGCAAAATCACAACACTGCAATGCACTGTATGCTGCGAGGTGGTGTGAGAAGTGGTGACGAGGTAGTCTAGATTTTTAAAGGATTGGCGATGGCTCTGGCAGCGGCGACGACTCCAGCAGTGGCGGCGACTCCGGCAATGGCGGTGGTGGCAGTGGACAAAGGCGAAAAAAATTTCAAAATAACCTTAAGCTTTGATACCATGTTGAATATAGAAAAAATAGGATTTGAGATTAATCTCCCTTGTATATAAACTATATATAGGATAATTTATTTATAATAAAGAGAGGTACAACTAAAAAGAATAACTAAAAAATAATTAGAGTAAATAGAAGATATTGTTTGAGATTATGATTAACAATATCTAACAATATCTAACAATATCTTAACAATATCAAACAATATCTTAACAATATCAAACAATATCTAACCTAGGACAAAAGGATCTATTATATTTAATGACGGATAAAGCCCACAATATTTCTAATTGAGAGGGAAGACGTGACATGAGAACGAGTCCATGCAAGATGTCCTATTTGAAATTAATATTTTTAGATATCAACTACTAATGCAAATATTTTTTCCAAATTGAATGTAAAATGTAGTTGTCTTCACTTTCCCTTCAATTCATTTTGACATCCCACAGCTTCGACAGATCGCTTAGCCCCGTTCATCTTCGGCGCAAGAGCGCTCGATCGGGAGCTATTACGCACTCTTTCAAAGGTGGCTGCTTCTAGGCAAACCTCCTGGTTGTCTCTGCACCCCTACCTCCTTTATCATTGAGCGGTCATTTAAGGGCCTTAGCTGGTGATCCGGGCTGTTTCCCTCTCGACGATGAAGCTTATCCTCCATCGTCTCACTGGATGACCTTGACCCTTGTTATTTTGAGGTCATGAAGCTTCATTTGTCCACGTCATTTATTTTAATAAGAAAAAAAGTTTATTTTTCTCTTTTCTAAGCTTATTTTATTTTAAAAGAAATTGAATATTCTTTACCAGTTTGAAAAATTATGGAAGCAAATGGGAGACTGTCACATATGAATGAACAATTTTGGTACAATTAGAGGACTAAGCATTCGTTTGATCAATCTCTGAAATCTGAATTAAGTAACCTTCTGGATATGCATATTCTTCTGTTACATAATTTTAAAAGTTTGATTTTTATGTATTATTTTTACACTGGTAACCGATTAGAAATTAAATAGTCTATTTTTAAGTTTGGGGAGTTTACGGGACGTATCATCCAGATCAATGAAGTTCACGTGGCTATCTAAGAACTATGAAAGTGCAGGGGGTGTCTGCATACTTTTCCCGATAACTTTAGTAATGATTTTGCCATAAATATTTTTACTAAAAATCCAGATTTTAATAAACAAAAATGTCAATTGATAAGTACACAACTCTGATGACATAAGTCTTGGTTGGTTAAATATAACATCCTTTTTAAAGATGTCACACATTTGACTTTTTCTTTTTTTAATCAAAATAGGAATCCAAAAGCACCATATATTGGACTATAGAAATAGCAAAAGTTTATTATAAAATGATAAAGAAAAAGAAAACAATATAAGGATGACAGAGTAAGCTAAGATGCAAAAATATAATGAGTTTCAGATACGATACATTACTGATGGTATGATTGATTATTTTAAAAAAAATATAGGATACAAAATGTGTTAGTTACATATCTCGATATGTATAAAAGATCCTAAAACATAACAAATCTATATTTGCAGTTGTGTAAATCTAAATTAAGACTAGACTTCTATTATTACCATAAAAAATATAAATTATAAAGTATTGCCATTGTAAATCATTTTCTATTGTTAGAAAAGTTAATGTAATTCTAACAAACTCAAGGACAGCTAAAAAGATTTATTTTTTTTTGCTGTTGTACCCATTTGTCACCTAGAGTCCTAGGTGCAGTCTTTTTATATCATCCTTTGCATCTCTCGTGTAAGAACTCGTGTCTCTCTCTCTATATATAGAGGGGATCAAATTATACCAGTGTAATTTTTACTAAATGGTACATCATGAAAAGTGAATTTTTTCGAGTACCATGTCATATCATCATGATTATCTGTCAAATTTCATTAAAATTGAACAACAACAACCACGAGAGGATCAAATAAAGAAGAACACTTTCCACTATTATTGACCATCATTTGGCTGTCACTGGCCACTGTTATCTCCAACAAGCACCGGATCTGGTGCATCTCTTTGATCGACACAGAACCCAACTAGTGCAAAGACTAAATCTGCTCCACCTCTTTCCGCGCTCCAACCAGGCATGTGAAGCCCATGCACCACCTTCTAGTCACCAGAGCAACGTTGCACCTCTTTAATGGATTTTGCCAGCCTCTCCCATCCTTGTTTCTAACCTTTGTTTTTGGTATTCCAGTACTCTTTGATGCGCAGCCCTTAAAACACCTCTCGGGCCCTCATTTTCTTTACCCTCTCCCTCCTTCAAAATGTCTTCACAACCTATCACCTATATCTCAAGGACTCCCACAATTCCTTCAGAAATGCTCAATGACAAAAATTACCTCTCTTGGTCAATGAGCTTTGCTTCCTTAGTCAAGATTCTCACGATCACTTGGAAAAGGATATTCTAGTGAAATACTATAGAAAAAATTGAACAATGACAGATGGATTTTCAACTTTGTGCTTTGTTGGGTAATCTATGTAACCCAATCTATTAGGAACTCTCAAAATGTTCAAAATTTGTAATTTCTTTTCGAAGAAGGCTGAGTATCTGTAAATAATATTCAATGCCTTTATGATTTGGCCCATAAATGAATTTCTCTTAGACAAAATTATCTCGACATAACTTCTTTCATCACTAAAGCTCAAAGAGGAGCTGAAGGTCTTCTTCGAAGTTGATTTATTGAAAGATAAGAAGTTGGATAAGTTCTATAAGTTAAGATTCTTCATGTCATGAATCCAAATTTTGATCATGATCGAGGTCAAATTCTGACCAGTGAAGAAGTTCCATCAATGGAGAGCTAACAACACAACTCCTTCATATTCCCACCCTTAAAAGCAAAATTTACTCATGCAAGGGGAGGAGGAAGGGCAATGGAGAAGGAAGAAGTGGTTGCCAACATCCTCAATATGCATAACTTAATGCTCTTATTTAGGGATACAAAAACGCGCCAAATCCGCCAACCCGCCTGTCAACTAGTTCTGCCCACCCGGTCAAGCCTGCAACCCACTTAGTTGATAAAAAAAAAATTATTTTTATTGTAATACAGTAAATCACAAAAGCAACATATATGCCTTATATGGAGGGATCTTCAATTTTGTGTGATGTTGAAGATGAGGAAGGGAATGACAAAGATAGAAAAATGGAGGGATCTTCCAAGGGTGCATCTAATGATATGAAGCATTGATTGTTCTTATTCTCATGACGTTAATTACATATATTTGTTATTATTTATTATTATATAAATTTTATCTTAATTTGATTGTTTTAAATTATAATTTTTTAACATAATTTATCAATTTATATTATTAACTTAATATACACACACACACACACATTCACTTGCATGAGTAAAAGTTTTAAAATATTTATTACTATGGGTAAACATCAAATAAAAATTACATTAAATTTCAAACTCATTCACTTGTTCTTGACTCAAGTTTATACAAGTTTAAAAGAGTTTACTCAAAAAAGAATTTGATAACGAGCTAACTCATTTTCTCTATTTAGGATTGTAAACTCGTAAGTGTGCAGTTGTTTGGCATGAAAAGGAGTGAAGCACACCACTCAGTGTTTTATTATCATTCCTCTTTAGGCAAGTGACAAGATTATCCATTGATGGAACATGATCGCCAGCTAGAATTTGATCACGCACGTGATCAAAGTCAGAATGCAAACTTCTCAAAATTAGAACCATATATAGCCTATCGAGTTTGGTGTTTAGCTCCTCTAAGGTATTTGCAACAAGAAACCTTTCTAATTCTTCCACAGCAGCCCTAGCTTTTGCGATGTGAGCCATCATGTCGTGATTGGTCTGCTTAAGTGACGTCACTCTTTGAGTTGCATCGAAGAGACGTTGAATATCATTAGTAAAAATGTCTTGAGTCTTTTTCCAAAAAGAAGAACAGGTTTTGAATGACCTGTGCAGCTCAAGAATATCCGGTTCCACATACTACCATAAGATTGCACAAAGTTGGAAGTCTATTTTCTCCCACTGAGACCTTTCTGCAGCGGAAATAGAGTCTACATCCTTCTCCAAATGATCGTGATGCCCTGGATCGAGAAACCACAACTCAACTGAAGCAGACTAGGATAAGTAATTTTTCCAGTTGAGTCTGACACTAGTTATGGTGGGAGTAGCAGAGAAGGTGAAGGCAGAGGATGAGGCAATCTGAACCAGAAAAGATGAATAAAGCTAACGAATAGGGTTACCCACGGGACTTTTCACACACCGTTCTCAAACCAGAAAACTAAGGGCACCACTGGACTCGGAGGACGCCAACGAGTCGAACGGAGGTGGTCAGCCTTGATTCCGGCCACTGGAAAGCAGCGCGTGGGACACACATGCCTGAGAGGGCTCACCAGGATGATCGCGCATGATGGTGTGCAAGGCAGCTGATAGAGGAACGACTTGCAGGGGTGATCGCGCTCCTCGAGGTGAGCAAAACCCCACCTTCGCCGATCCAAATGGAGATGGTGACCGACGGTGATAGCGGCAGACAGCAGCTAACAGTAGCCGGAGTTGACAAAGGCGACCAAAAATCAGTGCGGGATCTTACCCACTCTGATACCAACTTGAGAAAACTTATTTAGGGTTTGATGCAATGACCAAAGACACTGATACATTGTATTTATAGAAAAAGGGATACAATAGAGAGGATACGGACCTCGGCCCAAACCCTTAACCCTAGTCTAAGGAACATTGAAAAAGAATACTGAAAGATACATAAACAATAGATCTCAACACAATTATTCATTTAAAAAGAAGACAAATTCCATGTGAGACTCATCAAAGATCAATGCTTCAATATTACACATGCTTTTGAGTCATACTTGTTATATTAGATTTTTCATAACTTTTTTAAACATTTGGATACTTCTTTAGTACAAAACTCTCAATACTACAAGAACATAGAAACCTAATTGTCCTTGAAGAATCAAAAAATGGAAATTGTCCTCTTCGTTAAAAGTAGCCTTGGTTGTGGTTACCCTTAGGTCGCATCGTCTTACAAAGGGTTACTTACACACGGGTTGATGATCAGAAAGGTTGAGTGAAGTGGCATTGTGTAAATCCAGCAACACGTCGACTTCAAGTGGGTTAACATCTAACATTGACTAAAGATATATGACTCAAGAATTACTTATAACACTTGGACAATCCTCATCTTACAAACTGATTTATGAGAGTTAAGCTATTCCTACTTGTAAATAATAACAAGTGATTTATGATGACAATGATTTATCATTTTAATTTTGGTAATGTCAAAGAAGTTTGTCTTATTTTTTATTTAAAGAATTAAACTTATATATTTATTATGTTTTATGAATTTTGATGCATATTTCGATATGTTTCTTACACGAATTATATCCTATATACTTTAGAATGACTGTCATTGTATCATATACGTATCATATATACAAATCATATTTCTGCATTATAATTACTGACAAAGCGAACAGCTACAATCAGGTATGGCTAAGCTAAAAGCAAAGTTTAAGGCATCACAGCTACAGCCATAATTCAAGTTATTGCACCATGCCCACCATTTGATCCAAGGTTGAACCACCCTGTAGGGTTTTTTCTTGAACTTCAGTCAACCCTTGCCCCCGTAAACCAGGTTTTGAAGTCCTATGATGTCAATAGTGGGGTTGGTGGAAATTGGATCAGTTACGCACCAATTACACCAAAAATTTAACCTATTGGATTCAAACACATGAATGTTTCACATCTAATGTGCCTCCTCACATAGAAACCCTTTGGGCTTTGAAGCTTGGCAAATGCATAGGCCCATCCTACCTTCGGCTGAAATTTAACTTTTATATGCAATAATGGCAGCAAAAAATATTGAACCCTAGATCACATGATCATAATGGTTTTAGTTGTGATTGAAAACAAATAAACAGTTTTATATTTCATTTTAACATACAATGAGAAGAAAAGGTTTGAGACCTCACAGTTCCAAGTGTTAGAAGACTTTTATTGATATAAGATCCTTCTCTCCTTCTCATGCCAGTAGTTTCAGCTTTTGAGCTCTCAGAACCTGCTAGATCAATGAGATTCTGCAAGTATAAGTGAAATATTAGAAATGTAAGACACAAATATATATATATATATATATATATATATATATATATATATATATATGAAACATGAATATGAAATCATCACCCATGTTAAAGCAAATTGAACTAAAGGGTTTAAGTTGGTTACCAGTTGTGAAAGTGTTATCGCTTCTCCTTCGCTATTTTCAGCACATGGACTACTCTCTATTGTCTGTTACAAAATGGTATGAAATTAAAAAGAATAAAAGAACAACATATACGTAAAAGCAATTGATAAAAATAGCTAACATCTTGATGTTCCATTTTCTTGTTCCTGAACTGCTCAGGATCCAATTTGATATCAATTATAATTGATGATCCGGCTGAACATTTAGGATATATTTAATAAGAACCCTGACCTCCCAGCAGGTCCTTATGTTAGAAAATAAAAGAACAATAAGAAGGAGAATTCTCATCAAGAAGTTTTGGGTTGGATAATGTTTGTTTTTATTCAAGTGTTTTGCCATGGTAATTCATTTGTTACCGGGATAAATTACCAAATGCGTTACTACATTTAAGTGCTTTGAAGTAACTATAAGATGTAAAACACTACAAATTCAACATAAACATCGACATAATCTAAAACCATGTGAAGAGCATAATGGATTTGATGAAGTCAAACTCCAATCTCTGATTTGTGCTGCAGGACTTGATTTTATGTCTTGTGTGTGTGTGAGTCTAGAGTATGAAGGTATGTATGCTTTAATCTATTCTCATAGTTAATCATATTCTAAGTTAGTAAGAATGCCTCAATTTTTATTAAATCTTGGATTAGAACTGTTTTAATATGTTAAAACTGTTTTAATCTGTTAAAATGTTCATAGGTTGATTTTTAATTGATAAAAATTCTAAATAATCGATTAATTTCACTTAACTACTTGAACATCATTATGTTTCGAAGTTTTAATCGATTAAATCACTTCTTTTATAAGTTAAAATGTTTTTGGTGATGTTTTTGGAAATAGTGATTTGCTGTTTTAATCGATTAAAACACATAGTTAAAATGTTCTCGTAACTTAATGAAATTTTTATTTCACTATTTTTATTAATTATTTGAAAGTATCATCAATTAAAAGTGACTAGTGGAGCATGAAGGAACTATGATTGTTTTAATCGATTAGATTCATTTTTCATCATTTAAAATGTCTTTTTATACTTAGAACATTTTTGTTTGCTCTATTTTAATCGATTAAATGTGATTTTATCAATTAAAACAACTTCTTAAAATTTTTCATAAGGTTTTATCTCTCTGTTTTAATCAATTAAAACCACGAAATAATCGGTTAATTGGATGTTCTAGTGAAAACATTGACTAAATGCACCATTTAATTGATTAAAATTAACAGTTTTTCCTATATAAACAGTTTCGATCTCTCTTTTCAAAAATACGATTTGTGAAAAATTTTGAGTAATCTTTTTAAGAGATTTTTGAGAGTTTTACGTGTGTTTTACTGTGTGTTAATTCAAAACATTTTTTAGGCATTTCTTTTACTTTCTTGGAGGGATTATTTGGAGATTGTGATTCAACACTTAGTGTGTTCTTCTGTATAATCTTTCCAAGTGATTTCTAACATTGTATTCTTTTCTTCTAGTGTATTTGTGGTACCTGGTGTTGGGTACCGGTTGGTGACGACTTGGTATGGGTTGTTAGTTGTTTCAATAGTGGTTTTCGGGTGTTCAAGAAGCTTTTGGGGTAGATAGAGTATGTCTACTAGTTTTTTATTGTATTTGAATATTGATTTAGTGGAACTCAATTGGTTGTACTGAGAACTGGATGTAGTCCAAGTGGTTGGGTAAACTAGTATAAATTCTTGTGTCTTCTTTTCTCTCTGTCCCTTACTTCTTTCTTGCATTTACATTTTGTTTCTTGTTTTATTCATCAATTAATTCTTGAAAAGATTGATTCTGTTATTTGAGAATTGGTTTAATTCAAAAAAGTTTTGAAAATTTTTATAAAGATCAATTCACCCCTCTTGATCTTGGTCATTGTTCTTAACACCATGTTGTTAAACAGACAAAACAGTATGATTCTTCCTTTGAGATGGTAAAACGCACCAGGGTAAATATTGTATGGCTCCTGCTGCTGAGTAGGTTGAAGTTTGTGGACCCAACATGTCTGTGCTCTGTTATAAAATTGAAATTTTGTCAAGAATAGAGAAAGGGACACATTAAATAACAAAAACAGAGAGGCATGAGTAGAATTGTAGAAGAATCCAATTCTTATGTTCATTCACATGACCAGTAAAACAGTTTTATTCAGTTTTTATTATAAACACTAAAAATGCAACTACTTTTTCAGAAGACTAAATTTGTCAAATAATACACCTGGTAGGAAAGAAGTAGCCAAACAAAGAATATTAAAAAGATGAGTGGAATAGCTTGTTTTCTCCCTCACTCTTTACATAAATACTCAATTTCAAAAGTACATAAAAAAATAATTAATTACAAAAGACAAAAGAAGAAAGCATAGGAGCGAGCCCACGTTATTTTGGTACATGAAGACAGTAAACTAAAATAATCCACAAGTAAATAGACCTAGCAGGAATTTTACCTTCTCCGGCTGCAATAAGGGACAATGCATGAGCAGGCGAGAGTACAACCTCTTCCTTTATTCCCTCAACATAGGTGCCCTACATATGAATCAATGTACAAATGATACACGCCTCCTTCGAAATACTTCTGTTTATAGAACTTTGAATATTTATTTCAACAACTATACAGCTGACTTTTGTTGATGGCTTCAATTTATATACATTCTAAATAAAGAAAGAACAAGGAAAAAGGTTTATGAATCAAAACAAAGGAGTCGTACCCATTAAAAAGTCTTGGAACAGTGTCTGAGATACAATTTAGTTATTTATTATATAAAACATAAAAATACAATTTTGCCTCTATAGTCAAGTTTTAGCTTTCACTAGGTTTGACAACAAAATATTCATTTCTCTAAAGTCATCAAACTAATCATTAAAACAGTAAAATCCAATATTTATTAATAATCATTCATTAAAGAAATTGGAGTAAATCATCATCTATAAACCAAGACTTTCTTTTATGCATCAACTTGTCACTTGGCTCAATCGACTGGAAATGTACTAACCAAGGGACTTCACGTGAAAGACAATCAAGATATATCAGCAAGCTGAGAATGATACATATCCATTCACCAGTTTGAAGGAGAGTATTGTAAAGTATAATCTATGTATGTACTGCTAACTTGAAAAATAGTACACAATTTCAGTCCTTTTTTCAATTATGAATCAATTCAGAAAATAGAATCTTCATTCATAATTTAGTGGCATAGAGATAAATATAAAGGAAGAAAGATAATTAAAGCTATTATCAGTACCTGAGCATCCTCTCTAATTCTTAAGTTCTGTCCTGCTGGATTTAGTAAGTCATTAACCACCTAAATAAAAAAAAAGCTTCAAGACTTGCATTAAGTAAATTTATTTTCAGGGTAAGTCCTGAGTGAAATAGCAATGTCTAAGGGAGACAAAATCCACATGAACATATCATCGCAAGAAATGAACTAGATAGCAAGAAAGTCTACCTCATTGTATATCTCCAAGTATGAAACTCGAAGGAGAAACTCTCGATTTGGAGTCTGGTACACAGAAAAATCAGACTTCGTATAATAAAAGCTGCAATATAGTGAGTAGTATTTGACATACCTCTTGGATAATGCTAAAAGCATCCTTCACAGCAAGAGGTATAATTCCAGGGGATCTTTGATCACCCTGCAAATATGAACTAATGAGCAAACGGTATGATATGAACTAATGAGCATATAGTGCCACATCAACTAGTCCAAAATTATCCAAGAACTCAACACCAACAGCAATTGTCACAATAACAGATATTATCAATTAATTTATTATCAGATGATGTAGCATGACAGAATATTAAGAAGAGAAGGAATGTAAAAGCTAAACATTTGTCTAAAGTCACATAAACAACTTCTTCAGCCAAAAACTTGTTCCGTATATGTATAATGTAATGGCAGCCAAACTATGTCCAAAGACCATCTTTACAGATCAATGTTTGGTAGGTTGCAGCTTTGAACAAAATGATTTTGAGCTTGTTCAAGCTATGAAAATTTTGATTGAGTAAAATTAAACAGTAGCTATCTTACTAACCTACCTGCTTCAGATCAGTGCTACTGTATACTTCAAATATACCAGTTAACATGTTAACACCCACGAGAAAATGATGATACTTTTATGCATTTATCAGAAACAACAATTCAAAGTTTTACTATCCCAAAATTAACATGTTACCTCTTATGGGATACTAAGATTTTCAGTACTTGTTATGCTCAGTACACTAAAATTAACAAATTCAAGACAAGAAGGAACAAATTAGAGAGTATTACAAATACTGTCCCAAAGAGGTGAAAACGTATGACTGAAAATAAGATAAAAAATAGAGCTAGTATTTAAAGCAGTTGCTCATTATTAGGAGTACCAGAATCAACCTTGACAACACATGACATGACTACCAGAATTTTCAAATAAACAAGGAGTAGAATAGAGGAGTCCAGTAAAAGGAGAAAGTGATGTAGTCTTTGAAGTTATAGCATATCCTGTATCCACTAACAAGTTTTAACAAATTTAAACTAGAACAACACATTAATATGAACAGTTTTAAAGTAAACCGAATCTTAATGATCAGAAAGAGGCTAATGTTATCCTGTAATTTTATATACTTGATAAGATACCAATGCCGAGAGTTGTGACGTAGCTGAATCCAAATATAGTTGCAACTCTGTTGAGATAGTTCATATTGGGATTTGATGTTCAAATCTAGAAAAACCATGAAATTCAACAAAGAGAAACAACCACAACCTACCAGCCCACCAATAACATATCAGAATAAAAAAACACAAGTATCACAGTGGTCAGCATTGCTCTTTTGTGAATTAAGTTTGTTTTTATTTTAATGAATGAATTGAGGGTGGTTTAAGGTTTAATAACCTTATGTAGCGTTACATTAAAAGACCATAAAAAACATAGATATGTAAATTAATCATAAACAAGAAGAACCGAAGATACATAAGTGTGGTCTCACATGCATTGTGTGAGTCTTCCCACTGCTTGTCACCCCATATGCAAATACCGTACCTGTATGAAAACCAGAGAGGAGTTCATACGTTAATTACTCAATATCCCAGGTATGTGAGATATAATCTAGATGTTACTCAGCCAAATATTTCCATATGAAAACTGATTCCTATGATGTCAATCTCAAACCTCTAGGGACTACATCATGATCTGGCTAACAGCCTAACCAAACATGGTTTGCAGTATTATTTTATATTGTAAGAGGAGTGATCAAGAAAGCCAAATGATATGAAATCTATACAAAAGGATCAAAATTGTATGGATGGCATTGTCCCTCTCTAAAAGGTATTTGATTCATTATATCTAATTTTGTCACATTCAACGAGTAAAATATGAACATCTGTGACTTATGCATTCCTCTTAAATCTTTTTAATGCAACTCTACCAAAGTAAAAAAAAAACTTTAACTTCAAATGAATATCAGTATCTAGCTAAGAGCTAATCAGCCACATCAAAATACACTAAATCATATTACAAATACCTAACTAATTCACATATGATCAAGATAGTATTGCTTCAAATCTAATGCATCCAAACTGTGATCTGTATTCTATCTAGGAATCTGGATGACTTGATTAAAGCAAGAATAGATTTTGTTCTTTAACTGTGCTGAATACGTGATAAGTAGTAAGTTCAATCTGATGTTTACCATTGATGCCCTCCATAGCACCACTAACGACATGCTGAGCAGCAACATCATAGACCTGGCGAGTTGTGGTAGTGGGACCAAAGACACGATCTAGAAAAAAATAACAGTTCAATACACAATATTGGCAAATGAGAGATAGGGAGACTATTTATTGCGAATGAATATACAGTACATGATGATTGATTGAATTTGTGATAAATGTACAATCTCATGACATTTGAAATCTTTCTATCTCAAATACGATCATGACATCTTTGTGAATATCATTCTCTGCCCATGTTATGATCACTGGGAGAACTATTAATAAAGATCTTGTAGTTTTACAGAAGTTTTGGGCTGTTAGGTAGAACCCGTAGGCTAACATTGATCCATGTACTACATCTCTATTACTGTTATTGACTATTGTTTTTGTTTTTCACGTCAAAATTAATGTAACAAATAATAGGTTGGCCAGAATTAATATAGAGGATTAAATCCTGAATTCTTTTGCTAATTTGGTAGGATGCCAACTGCAAGTCCTCGAATGGCCTTTTCTCAGTAGAGCGTCCCACATTCAGACATTCTCAACCTCTACTGAGTTCTTCTTGGGACCCTGTAAAACAAAATATCAGTGAAAATGAGATAAGTGGAAAGGCACATTTTTGTTCCCATTATGTCAGATTATGCTTTCTGGCTAGTTTTGTCTAGCATCTGTCTTCAATAAAACTCCAGTGCGGATTATTTGAAGGGTGGGTGGTTAATGTATGACATGTTAAAATGCATTTAATATTCGAGGGTGTTAGTGCCTAGGAAGTTGCATCACTTATTATAATCCTAGGGAATAGTCTCCATTAATTCAGTCTATAAATATGGATGATATGCAGAAACTAAGTACTACATTCTCTTGAATAAGAATAAGAAAGTATTCCCATTCCCTAAATTCTCAGCAGATTGTGTTCTCTCTTTTCTTCACCTTCTAAATTCAATAGGGATTAATCAGAGCAAGAAGCTTCAACATATTTCTTTAATCAGGTGTAGGAGAAAAAAGGATCATTTGGTCAGCAGGAAAATATTAAGGAAGGAGATTCTTAAAATTTTAATGAATACTGCTTCAATTAGTAGCTACAATGTCTCCCTTGTGATTTTCTCCTTATGGCAGCATAAAGGGCAAGTATGGTTTACATTAAAATGTTGAGAAATGTTATTGCCAATCCAGAAAACATCACTACATAAGTCCTTGGAAATCATTCTGAATATTTATCATTTTTTTGGGCCACTATGCCCCCTAAAGGTATGTAAAAGAAACCACATTTAATTTTGGGACTGTGAGTGGATAGGGAGCATGATATTCTTCAGAAGCTTTTCCTACTTCAATCCCCCATCCTTGATTTTTAAATTAATGAAGGCTCCAACCTTTCTTCAATTTCTCCTTTTGCTAGGATTCCACCACGCACGGATACTTCCCAAAAAGAGGTCCCTTATAGTTTTTGCTTAGATCATCCATTCAAGTTCTCATTCATTCCCTTTCCTTCTTGAGAAACTGTTTGAAACCAAAACTCTGTACAAGGCTAAATCATTCGTTTGGGCAGCTGTCTAAACAAGATTAATAGTAATGGTATGCAGCACTGCAGGCCCATTTACTCAATGGTTAATCCACCTATTGTTCTAATTCAGGAGGGAACAGTTGTACATTTGTTTCTACGTTTTTTATCAGCTACATTTAGAGGGACTCTTTCTTTTGGAATATATGGTGATCCCTTGGCTATCTCAAAACTTGGAGCATTTTCTGAGGATTAATTTCAGATGTTTCAGCAGTAGAAACGAGGGAAAAGTTATTTTTGGCAGAGATAGACTCATTGTACTTTGGTCTTTGATTAGAAAGGTAGTTAAGATTTATAAAAAAAAAAAAAAAAAAAAAAAAAGTATCTTTCCTAAGTTATGCTTTCTTTGGGACATTTTTTTTATTTGGCTCCTCATGGATGATCAGAACGTGGATTCCTGCATAGATTTACAGAAGGATGGGAGATCTATTTTGTATTAATAATGCATTGTTTCATTTATATGACTGGGTTTTTTATTAGTTCTGTCTTAGAAGATTTCATCTAAGAAAAGTTTCCTCAAAAATATAATCACGATGAGAATATCTTATTTTGTAGCCAATATCATCATCAGATTTTATTCTCAAAAGCAAACACGGAAAAGTTTAATAATTCAATATGCCTCAGAATGTAGAATAATATAAGGTTAACCCTGGATACCAAATGAAGAAATATGTTTAAAAATAAAAAAAACCCTATCCATAAATGTCAGTTTTGCATATTATACCGTATGCATAAGCTATGGAAGGGTTATACTCATTTCGCACTATAGTTTCTCCATCTGCATACCAAGCAATCTCCTCTCCTTGACGAATTTCCCTTGGACTGTCCCAGGCATAGACCTCAATCAGATTAACAAGCATCCGAATAACACAGTCAGAAGAATGACATGATTGGAGAAGGCCAGACTTACTTCAGAGGCCGAAACCGGACCGTCACCGTGACATTTTCTTTCACTCTCTGTGCCTCTAAAGGAGGTGCAGCAGCAGTTTCTGCATTAAAATGCTGTTGCTTACTTCGAGCCGACGAAGATGCCGGCGAACTCTGGCCATCAACCGATGTCTCCAGAAACTGTTTAGAAGACGAAGTAGTAGAAGAAGGAGGCGAATTAGCACCTTTTGAGCCACTCAACCGGAACCTTCTTGGTTTCACACCTTGTTTCGATGCCATGGGCACTTCTCCACAAACCTTCAACAATCAACACAACAACCAAGGTTTAACAATTGTCAGCATTAAAAGAAATTTCGTTGGACTAGCAGAAAACAAACAAGAAACAGAAACCAAAAATCTGAGAATGAGAGCATTAAAAATAGAAACCGAGCTTACTCTGTACAGAGAGATAATGAAGGAAAATTCAGGCGAAAAAAGAGTAACGAAAAGGGAGAATTGCTTGGGTCAATGCAGAGGAAGTTGCATAAGAAGAAAATAAAGCAAGAAAGCGAGACAAATAGAAGAAGATAAGAATGGAATAATAGTATGGACCTGAAAGGAAGGAATCAGAGACGCATTGTGGAGTCAGGGAAGAGATCGCACGGGAAAGGAATAGACAGATCCAAAAGAGAAGGTAAAGTGTGCTTGATGAAGTGGAGTCAGAGAGAGTCAAAGAGTTTAGTGAGTAAAGGAAAAATAGCACATCATCTTCGACAGCAGAGTGAGAGAGAAAAAGAGATATGAGAATAGGTTATTGCCTTGCCTTGGAAGCGATGGCGACGGGATGCCCTTCATTAACAAAAGCGAGCAAGAGTTTATTATCAATCACACTTTTATTATTGTGATGATTGACAATGATGATTACTATTATTATTGGTTTTATGCTGGAAGAGAGAAAAGTAGCAGTGGAAAAAATAGTACGAGAACAAAGAGTCCGAACAATTGGGATAAAGAGAGAGACGAGGGAGTGGCTAGAAAATGGAAGAAAGAAGACAGAGACGCTTGTTGTTGGTATGGTGGGTCTGGCGTAAATTTTCGACGAGTGTGTTTCTCTCTCTATAGCTGTAAGGTCGATGTACATAAATAAATTAATTATCTTCTTTAGTTCCTTTTTGGCGCGCGCATAGGCAGAAGCGCAGGATTGGGGTTCCTGATTTGTCTTTCACTGTTTCACGAGAGGTGCATGTTAGCGAATACAGTAGAAAAGGAATGAATGGCAATGGGTATTTCTAACTACTATTACGCCACCATTGACAGTTATATGTGTCAACCCATGGGACCCATGACAATCACACACCTTCTCTATACTTTTCAATGTAAACAAATTTTCCACCTTCTCCTGCCCAAACCTACTTACTCCAACATTTCTTCCCACAGTTTATTTATCATAAGATAAAAATATATAATCGATTATTGATTCATTTAAAGTAACTTGTGAAATAAAATTAATAATAGTAAAATTAATTCACATAAATAAGCAAATATATGTATCAATCAATTATTATTATAGATATTATATTATGAAAAATATTCTATCCTTTATCACATTATCCACTAAATTCTATTTTTTTTATTATTACGGTGGACATGGACAGTTCCAGTTAAGTCAAACACCACCTTAGATGTGCGAGGAGGCATAGATTAGTAGATTACCCGAAAATAGAGCTTAATATGTCCTTTGATATATGTTTTCAATTAATCTAACCATGCCTCATGCTATATATATATAGAGAGAGAGAATTAACCTAGTCAATGAATGATTAATTAGAATTTAAATTAAAAGATAAAATTAAATTTTGAATGCTAATAATGCATACAACACATTAAATAAATAAAAACATTTTTCCATTGAAGGGAATGAAACTTCTGGGTTTCACTTATCAGTTGCCTTGTTCATTACGATGAATGCTTTTGGTTAGGTTTACCTAAAATAAAAAAAAGAAAAGAAACAATAATTGTTGAATTAAATATATACTTATAGTATAAAATAGATAAAATATTAATATACATTAAATTACTTTTAATAGAACACGATAATGTGGATTTTAATTTGAGGAGTATATGTAAATATTATTTCCGAAAGATAATTATTTATATTTAGGATTATTTAAAATAGGGCCAATAACTAGAGATTTTTTATTATAATTACGAATTTCAGAGTGCATAGATTAATTGGGCTAATTATTTGATTTTTTAATTAATAAACAAATTATTAAACTTTATGGTATTTTAAGGGTAGATAGACAAAAATAATAATAATACAAAGAAGAGTGAAAAATTATTTGCATATGTACATGTTCGTGCAAAAGGAAAACTAATACAAAATTTAATAGTAGTTAATTTATTTTTATTAATTTAAATAATATATAACCAATAAAATATGTGATCATCAATAATAATTTTTTTATAGAGACTATTATTGACAAATTCAAATCATGAAATCGATTTAACTCTTAAGAATAAAAATTTGACTTTTACTTATTTAAATAGTAATAAAAACAACAATATTAAAGATCTTAAATTTGGTTGTAGAAGAAAACTTAGTAAATATTTTAATCATTTACTCTAGATCTTGTATTAAACAAGAGTTACAACAAGTTCCTTTGTACTTCTCTTAAGAGAAATAATTTAATATTAAAATGTTTAGTTTTCCCATAGAATACAATATTATGACAAATAGTTATTACAACTTGATTGTCAACAAAGATTTTAATGTCTTTCTTCTACTCAAGGTTAAGATTACTCATTATCTTCTTAAATCAAAAGACTTGATTGACAACAACAATAAACTCTATTTTAGTAGTAGATTGAGTCACTATTTCTTATTTCTTTGATCTCCATAAAAAAAGTTAAGATTCAAGACTAAGCAAAATCTTGAGGTGTTTTTCATATCAATGCACCTTGTCTAGTTACTATAAGAGACACCCCCCCCCCCCCAACAACTTGAAATCCTTGCTTTTCTTGAACTTAATATCAAAATTGGTTGTACCTTTGATGTATCAAAGTACTCTTCTAGCAGCCTTCAAGTGTGTTTCATTTGCAAAGTGCACGAATCAATATAAGTAGTTAGGATGTCTGATCTTGTTGTTGTAAGGTACATTGAACACCCAATCAAACTTTTGAAGTATGTCTCATCTATTTTTTCAGTTTCATCTTCCTTGTTGAACTTTTCCTTTATATTTATAGGAGGGGTTGAGGAACTTGCACTCTTCCATATGAAACTTCTTTAGAATTTGTTTTGCATATTTTCTTTAACAATGAAAACTTCATATTAACTTTGCTTGATCTCCATTCCAAGAAAATAAGTCATCAATCCAAGAAAAGTTATCTCAAAAACTTTCATCATTTCCATCTTAAATTCATCAAATAAGATTGCATTATTTCTAGTCACTAAAAGATTATCAACATAAAGAGAAATAATGACAGTGTCAACATGTTTGATGTAAAGAGAGAGTGGATTTTGATAAGCTTTTTACAAAGCCTATATTTAGCAAATGATTGTCTATTCTGTTGTACCAAGCTCTCAAAGCTTGCTTTAATTCATATAATGTATTCTTTAAATGATAGACCTTACCTTTTTTTCTCAAATCCTCTAGGTTGCTCAACATAAATTTCTTCCTATAAGAAACCATTCAAAAATATTGGTTTAGCATTCAATTGGTAGACTTTCCAACTCATTTGTGCTGCAACAGCTAGTAACAACCTGATGGTAACTAGCCTAGCAACTAGTACAAATGTTTTTTAGTAGTCCACTCTATAAACTTGAGCATAACCTTTAACTACAAGTCTTGCCTTATTCTTATTGATTGAGCCATCTACATTTACCTTGGTTTGAAACACCCATTTAACCCTAATGGCTTTTTTGTCTTGAGGTTTATCTACAAGTTATCATGTATTATTCTTTTTGGATTATATGAAGCTCCTCCTCCATTGCAGCCATCTAGTTTTTATCATTATTTGCTTCTTCAAAATCTGCAGGTTCAAAAAGTGCAATCTTACAAGATTGATAAATATCATAAAGCATTTTAATGTCTTTGACTAGAATGTCATCCACCATCTCATTTTGCCAATCTTCTTCTCTTTGTTCTTTAGTAGTTAAGGCAACAGAAAAATTTGGTTGTATTTAAACATTGATCTCTTTGTAACTCTTTGTAAGCCTTGGATATTGTGTTATAGCCTACAAAGATTCCTTGTATTGTCTTCTTGTCTAATTTATCAAGCTTAATTTGTGGAATATAGGTGAAGCACAAACAACCAAACACTTTAAAAAGTTTAAAGATGGTTTATATCCATACCAATTTTTAAAAAACTCGACTTGTTCCTTCTGATTAAGAGTTTCTTCCATTCTTCATCCCAATTAGCTTCTTGTAATTCGCAAACAACACTGTAGGCAATGGTTTCGTGAAGATATCAGCACCTTAATCTCGGCTTACCACATGCATGAACTCCACATTTTCTTCCTTCACCTGTTCTCGGATGAAATGAAATTGCACATCAATATGCTTAATCCTTTCATGGTTGATCGGGTTCTTCGCTAGTTCAATTGCATTGTGTTGTTTCTCCTCCAACGAGTTGAGATTAGTAAATTCTTGAGTCACACTGCATGACACACACTCCACGATATTGTTACATATTCAGCTTCACACGTTGACAATGTCACTATGGGTTACTTCTTCGAAAGTCAAGTTCCCATAAAAAATACATATCCTAATATACTTTTTCAATCATCCATATCTCCACACCAATTATTATCTGAGTATCCAACGAGTCGATATTGTTTGACCTCGTATACAATAGTCTGAGTGACATTATACCTCCAATGCACCTCAGTATTCATTTCAACGCCTCTAGAGAGGTTAACACCACTTCTCATCACACATTGTCTTCTCAAATTTGATTTCCTCAGAATATGTCAAAAGACACACCACATGTACCCTGGCAACAGTGCCAGAAATACTTGTTGAATTATTGGAACAGTGCCAGAAATACTTGTTGAATTATTGGCAAGCGTACAAAAATTATCAATTGTAGTATAGTATTTCGATTAAATAAAAGTTGATCCCACGAGGAACGATTTCAATGGAAATTCCCAATTATGCTTATTAAGTATATTTAAATAGATTGACTTTTGCAAATAAGAGTTGAATTGAAATTAAATGACAAAGAACTGTAAATTGTTGAGAAAATATCAATTAAAGGTACTTAGGATTGACTTCCTTCCTTATCCCTCTTTTGTAATG